CTTCAGATGGGACTCATCACACCACTTAGAGAACTCACCTAAATCTTATTGGACAGTGGATAGCGTATCGCCAAGTTCATGGGTGTGACATGAGTATCAAACCTTAAGGTCATCAGTGTATAGGAATGTTTCCCTTGAGGTGAAGCACCCGCACTCGTCATTAATATAAGTTGCCATATTTCATTCCGAGCGAACAAATAAGTCAGGTCCTTCTAAATTCTATTAAAACCCTCGCTTAGTGATGAGTGGGGAAAGCTATACACAATTTTTAATTCGTCGGCAAACAGGTAGGGTTTACCGTATTTTATCACGTTAGAAATATCATTTGTGTAAACGAGGAAGAGTAAAGGCCCCAACACACTACCTTGAATGACGCCACTCAAAATAGGCTTTGGGGAGGAATAGGTGTTACCGAACTTCACTATCTGAGTACGCTGTCTAAGGAAGGAGCCTATCCACGTTAATAGAGGGTCACTAATTCCAAATGATTAAAGCTTCAGAGTTAAACGATTACGAGGCACTTTATCAAATGCTTTTTTGAAGTCAAAAAATAGAGCAGTTACGAAAAAACTTTCATCTCGTCTGCAGGTAACCTCCTCAAAACAATCCGGCAGGCAAGTACTACATGAACGGCCTTTTGAGAAGCCATGCCGCATAGGGGAAAGTAGCTGATGCTCAGCCACGTAATCAGTGATTTCTTGCACAACCACCTTCCCCATGGTACAAGAGACTACAAATGTAATATTTATGGGACGATAATTTTGAATACCTGACGTTGGCCTAGATTTATACTTGGGAGGTGTGTATGACAGCTTCCAGCGGTCAGGGTAACATGCCTCAGTGAGGGATATTGAGAATAGCTTCGTAAAGATCAGTGTTGTCTTCACAACACCTCTTCAGGAGAACAGATGGGATCACATTGGGTCCGGCAGCAAATGAGTCATTTAGGGAAGAAACTGCGTCATCTATCTTTCTCCGTGTAAAGGAAACATTACTTAGCGAGTGGTGTGGTGGAATGGGCGCTTGTGTGTTCAGTACGCCATATTCACGTGTGAGGCAGCTTGCATGACGACTACGAAACAGCTAACAGATCTTACTAGGATCATCGTAAAGAATGTCCCTATCAATGATCAGACTACTAGGAACTATTCTAGATAGGTTTACACGGGATTTCAGAATTCTCACAACTTATTGAACTCTGCCTGTTTGTGCGTTGTGGCTAGTTTCTCGCTGGATTGCTTTCAGTAACCTATTCGGTTTGAAGTTCTCATGAGCAATTTCTAGTGAGACAAGGGATGGAAAGTCATTAGATCGACGGAAATTTCTGGCGTGTCTGTGCACGCTGACACGTACATTTTCAGGGATGAAATCCACTTCCGGCTCCCTGATTAATGCTGATACCTCCGGGGCAATTTATTCGTGAATTACATTCATGGAACTGTAGAAGATGTTACTTAGTTCATGGGTTGAGCTACTGGTGAGATAAGAACCCCAGTCCAAGCATGGCAACGTGTATTGTATCTCTTCCCGGATGGTATTTTTATATCGTCTAACTGCCGTTGCTTTTGACCTGGGGGCTAACAAAGTTATGGGAGATAGTTGAAAGTCACCAAACACCACTCTGTGATAGCTGCCCGGGAATTCTGGACCAACTTTAAGAATGAAAGGGCATAGTCCATTGGTGAAAACAAGGTCAAGTATGCTGTTATGTCTAGTTGGTTGCACTACATGTTGGTGCCATCCTCCAGAATCCAACACATTAATAAAATCATCAAACCGCCTAGGAGAAGCAAGTGACTGCCACTTGATGTCAGGCATACTAGAGTCACCGCACATAAGTTTCATGGAGTGGGGTAATGTTGTTACATGGGTGAGCACTTCTGCAAGTCTGTCATCATAATCCGCAGTAGAGCAAGGGGGACGGTAGATACGCCCTAAGAGGATAGTCATAACATTTGGAAACTTCGCCACAACCCACACAGAGTCACTGAGCGAATCGAGTTCTGAAGTACTACAATTTGTCGCAGCAATGTCGGGCCTGATATAAATGATCCAACCACCCCCTTTACCGTTATGTCTATTTCCCCTACTCAGAGTATAATTGTCGACAGAGACATCACTATCAGGCGTGTCTGGAATACACCAAGCTTCAGTGATAATTATTAGGCAGGCTTTAGACATAACCGACATCAGAGTGAACTCACTTATTTTGTTGCGTGTGGAACGAGCGTTAATCAGACAGAAAGTCAAAGAATTGAATAAGCGTAGTATCTAAATTGTTTTCGGAAAGCTTTTCGTGGCAGGTCAGGTGGAACTGCAGTGGTGAGGAACATGGGGTTGAATTTAATTTCGGGGACATAGTAGGGGAATAAGATACTACTGGGTTACCACTAACATCCTTTATTGTGTTGGGTGTTGACCCACTGTATATGAGCCGGGAGGGTGACAGGTTGGCGTAACATCTTCCCCACCACTGTAGCGGTTGTGAGCCAGGATTGAGAGTAGCTGATTTGACAGCGTCATCATCTGAACAGCAAAAGACGCTAATAATTTTTGAAGTCCACAAAAATTTGGGTTTTGAGAATGAGCCCTGGTTATAAGTGTCTGAGGAAATGAGCTGAGTAAATCTGTGGTTTCACTTCTGCATGGGAAGGGGTAGGGTGCAATGTGTTGGGAAGCCGGTATCAAAGGCTGTGTCTGAACAGCAGGTCCCCAATTAAGAGGCGATATCGTTGCACTGGGGCGAGCATACTTTGGACTTGAGTGTCATGTAGATGGGTGTGAGAGGAAAAACCTGTCGTTCCTCCCTTAGCCCTTGTTTTCATGACTATAGGGGGCACTTGTGTTACGAACATTCTTACGCGCGCCCCCTTTGTTTTTGCCACCTTGGTGTATGAATCCTACCTTTCTGTTGGTTAGTGAAGGTGCCATAGTGCTTGATGTCATACCGGTGGACGTCGTGGATGTGTCTGCGTAAGGAAACAGGGTCACTCTTCGAATGGCGTTATAACCATTAGGTTCAACAGCCTGAGTATAATTACTTCGGGGCCGGCTAAAACGTCTCTGTGCCATTGGCTTTGGCGGTATGCTGGAACTAGGACTTTTAGGTTTAGATTTTCGAAATATGGCACTTTGTGACTGTGCATTGTCGATACACCTGGAGGTCATCATAGTACGCGAATGGGTTAAGGGGGTGAAGGCCCATCGGCGTAATTGCATCTGATTCAGATTTGTCGTTTGAGGGTAGGAGGCCATGAGCCCATATTAATCCTTTTCCAGCAGATTTCTGAGCTTGTCCAATTCCCTTTTGAATGAGTCAGTTGATGATGCAGACACCACTCTTTCTGGGAGTTGGTTTCAAGAGTTGATTTCTCGACGCGAGAACCATTACTCTGTAGAGACCATGTTAGTTCTTTGCTTTGTAGCCTCCTGCCATGTCCTCTGAGGTGTTCCGACCTGGTGGGAAGGAAAAAAGAAGATCGATCAAGTCTGAAGCCGTTTCTCAGAATCCTGTGAAGCATTATTAGGTCTCTCCCGTCTGCAACATAATAAATTGAGGAGGTTTAGCTCCTTAGGTCGATCTTCATAGGTGAGGGAAGCCATCGCAGGGATCACAGGAGTGGCTGCCCTCTGGACTCCTTCTGGAAGTTCTGATTCACCCTTCAGCCTAGAATTAGCAGCCTGTGCACAGTTTTCTAATTCAGACCTGACTGTGGATGTGTATGAGATGGTGAAATTGTCACCACTCATATTCATAAATGTTCTAAGTAATCCCCAGAGAGTCCTTAAACTTCCACCTGATACCAATAGGCAGTGTGCCCTGAGTCTGAAGTCATAACTCGCCGTGAATCTTAGGTCATTGTGGGTCAGTAAAAGAGTTTTACTAATGTCATAGGTGTTGCTGTGTGTGGCCCAAATGCATGCTCATTGGTGGGACTCCCCACCCTCAGAACTGACCAGCAGCGATCTTGGGATAACAGTGACTTATGGTTCGAAGACCAAGGCACCAACCGATTAGTTGAAGTACAGATTGCAGAGATTTTTCGGCATTACACAGAACACTACACAGAACGTTTACAAGAATAAGTGGCGATATATCCACTATCCTACATCCGTCTTTAGTTAGGCCTAAACTAGAAAACTGTGTACAAGCGGCCATTCCCTGCTTGAATGGTGAATCAGACCTTCTGGAAAGAGCTCAGAGGACAGATAGTCGCATGGCCTCTGAGTCTGGTGGTCTGAATTATGAAGATCAACTTGAGGAGCTAAACCTCTTCTCCTTATCCTATCGCAGACAGAAGGGAGATACAATCACACCATACGGGATTCTAAGAAATGACTTTGGACCTGATCTACCTTCTCCTTTTCTTTCCACTAGGTTACGAAACTTCAAAGGACACATGGGTAGAGTAAAAACCTAGAAGAAGGAATTTTCTCCCAAGGGCAAAGGTTACTGCATCAAATTATCAACTCATGGAACCGACTCGCAAAAGTAGTAGCATCTGCCTCATCAGGTCTGGGCGGAGATAAATATGGGCTCACAGCGTTTTATTCACATCCAATAAGTCCGAACATGAATCTTCTCCACATATCCATTTTCTTTCTCATCTACTTAGAAGTTACGCAGGTCATTCCTTTCCATCCACTTTCCTTACCTTACTTGGTATTTCTCCTTTTCTCTCCGTTATTATGTTTAGTCATCTGTTCATTCTTCTTACCTCCCTTCTACTACTGATCCGAACAGCCGTGTAAAGACACGACACTTAAGGAACCCATTCGCAATAGGGTCTCAGGTCAAAGCCTTCACTACTCTGAAAATTTAATCAATAGCATGTCCAGTTTACAATAGCTACACCAGGTGGTTGGATGGATCTTCCATATAGACAACCTCCAATAACCTTTGACCGTTCTGAAAGGTATGGAGGCGAACTCTAGGAAATCGGATAACTTATTTATTTGTAGAAGGCAGGTATTGGACATTACTGTAAAGACTAACGACCACTTTTCAAAATATTTAATATGTTTCCGTGATAAATTAAGAATATGAGTGATTTTAAGAATATTCTGGTTCTGTCCAATCACATGCATATTTTCTCAACCGAAATTACGAGTCTACGAAAACGGTTCAACAATGAGTTGGGGTCTTCTGAGATAACAGTTCTTTGCGACTACTTACCAGATCAAAAAATGTTAAATACTACATTTCTCAAAGATTTATCACCCATTTTATTTGATCTGATATCACTGCACGAAACTGTCGTGTTTTTTATCTCAGCGTGTACCTCGAATGTATGTAATTGCTTGCTGAATACGTGTTCAGCAGCGGAATCTATGTGAGTTTTTCAATCATTTAGATAAATTCAAAAAGCACTGCAGAATGGTTATTAAGACTGAGTTATTCTGAAGAAGACAACTGGATAAATGAAGAGCAATTCAGATCCTGTTCATTATTGGAATTGGCAGCACTATATTCTAGTGCAATTATTCCTGATACTTCAGGGCGTAAACAAGTGTTCTTTTTCTTCAAACAATCTCCGGTGAATTCCAAAGGGTACGTAAGAGAATGAGTTATTATTCGCAATAAAATCCAATGGGATTATAAACTTTGTAATAACGTCTCAGAAAGTTATTAAGAATGTTAATGGTAAAACTTAGTTTCGCCATTTTAGATACTATTAATAACTTATGAAGTTTATTTGTATTTCATCGTCAAGAAATTTCGCTGTCATCGCCACTGTGACAGTTTGCTCCAATTATCCGTTTGTAATATTATCTGGATCACGCATTTTAATGACACCCCAAATAATTTCAGTGCTACAGTAAACAGGTCAGTAATTACGGAAATTAGGTTTCTCACTCCAGTCTGAAGGTTAAAACCTTTATCTGAGAAATATAATAAACCGGTCCTTGGTCAGATTCTGCATCTTCGTCGGTATTCAGTTTTCACACCTCATATTTAGCATTAGTAGACCGAGTTACCTGTGCTAATTCCTGACAGTATAATTCTCTTTAAAGATTCAGTTTCCCCTCATCAGCGTTCACCAAAGGAGTCGCTACCACAGGTTCCTGTAATCATTTTAAACTTCTGGCCACCCTTTCAGATGATTCGAGTTTCGCCTATGCTTTATTCGACCGTGAGGCATGAACATTTTTATAATAACCTCTTTGATAATCATTCCTAGAAGGAGTAAAAAGATTAGAGAGATCAACACACAAGTCACTATTCATAATGTTTTATGCCAGTATAATATCTCCTTTCCCTAAGATATAACAATGAGAAGAGGTTTTGATCTTCCAATCACTTTTGATACGGAAGATGAGAAAGTCCTGTCACTAGCTTTGTTCCCTCTCTCTGTACTTATATAGAACGTCCACTTTAGTTTGTAGGAAAGAATAGTTGCTTATTTTCAGTATTCTTGACGAGTTCTTATATAAACAGGATAAGGTATCCTATATATTCCTTCGTCAAAGCACTTAAGAGTGCTGTGGAGTTGCCACGGCATGCAGAATGCCTTGGCTGTGGCCACGTTAGAGTATGCCTTTGATTTTCACTTACAGCTGGTAACAACCTTTATGTCTTTTTCTTATCTAACAAAAAGCAATATTGACTCAGCTAGTTATTAAGGTATCACAACTACTGATCAGTATAAGTTACGGGACTTTTGTTAGGACTGTTTCTAGGCTCCAGCGTTTAGACCATTTAGTCAGCTAGACAAGGTCAGTCTGGAGTGCCATCCTGTTATTATTACCATCATTATTATCATTATTATTATCTTAAACAGTCCTTAAGGCCTTAATATCATGTGCAAAAAGCAGGGATAATGACACAAAAATAGCTCGCAATTTATTACATTAGGCAAGATCAAAAGAGACCATAGTAAAGTGACATAGGGAACCCACTCACAGACGGTTTCAGGTTAGACAATATTCAATTAACCCTGACCTTTCGGTCCCCGTCACGCAGGTAGTGCTTTAACTATTCAGGTGCGCTGACATCTATAAAGAAACCTAAGAACTTCCTCAACTAGCTCGAATGGGGAACCTCATAAAATGTCCTACTACAATTAATAAACACTAGGTAAACGGGTAATTTATTACCTCTTACTTCTTTCCATTATTCCCTCGGTCGAAAAAAGTTCACCAGGCGAGAATGTCAGGTTAGGAAGACGTGTTGCCATGTATTTTTACATGACCCAGTAATTTGTCAAGGATTGTTTTTTCTGATACTTTCATTACTATGTAATTCAAGCTGACTGATTAGTAATTAATAACTAATTGACTATTAACAACCTTGAAAACTAGGCATACCACGGCATTTCCCCACTTTCTAGGCAACTGGGTCTTGGAAAAAGACGGGTTAAATATCTCTTATAGAAGCTTGTGGATGATGTCAGCCAACGTCAGTAACAGTCTTAGGCGTAAACTGTTGTGATGCCCCAGCCTTGTTTAAAACATTGTTATTGATCTGAACGTTTTAACTTGTCATTTCTACATTATTTTTACAGCATGACTAATAGTCTATTTCTGCCTCCATTGTAATGTAATTCGCTGATTAGTTAACTTTACTCTTACTACGCGAATTTCTCCAATTGCAGACAAGGTCATTTTTTGTGGAAATACTTATTCGAGTGTTTTGGATTGAACTATTAGTATATTATATTCTTGGAGTAATACACTATCCCATCTGCCGGCTTCGGTCTTCTCTCTATTCGTTCCGGGGTTGCAGTCAGTGTCTCTTGCGTACCAAGTTGGCAGTCAGCTAAGCGCGCGTATTATATTCATTCCGGAATATATATATATATATATATATATATATATATATATATATATATATATGAGCGCTTCGAAACCGTGACATAAACCAGTAGCTTAACAGATTTTAGATTATTTGGCAATCTCAGCACTGATTCAGTATCTACCAAAATAGAAGCCACTTGCAAGAGGTCAACCGTGGCCTTAATCAACATTTTTTTGTTACTATCCACCAAAACACCCTTACTAAATTAATTAAACAGGGTTTTGGCTTAATCCTTGTTTGGCCATGCTAAGATGTTCAGCTTCTCACTCAAAAGTAGAGTATTACATCATACCTCGTAATCTCGCACCTAATATGTGATTAATATCTTTTAGGACAGGGAAAGATGGTAGTACACGTATTACTTTTCATATTCAATGCAGCGGTTGGTGACGAAAGTTTTACAGGAGTTCTAAGCTTTGCGGTGGTTCAACTTAAATGTGACACAAACCAGTTCTATAAGTAGAGTCCTGTAGCACTTCCTCCTCTCCAGCAACTTTTGAACCTTATTATTAATCCAAGGGGATCTTTGGGAAGACCTCCATAGTAGTGCCCAAGGTATGGAAGGAGATGTAAATCTTTCAGAAATTATCCTAGACTCCTGTCAAGCCCTTTTGACAGTCCAGTCTTAATTGATAAATAAGCCCATTAGGACTGTCATTTCCTTAATCAGCCTTAAGTCTGTGTACCAGTTATTTGGTTTGCAGGCTACTGATCAATAAAATCAGTCTTAAGTTCCGGAGTCAAAATTAAGAACAATGTGGTCAACATTCATAAGCAGTGGGAGGTGATGAAGGTCACCCTCATAGAAGTACTGGTGAGCAAAGACTAGATCCACTAGTGAAGACTCATGCTCCGGATCAAAGTGGGTGCCTACAACTACATTTTGTACCGGGGCACATTCGAATATGGTAGGTAGAAACTTGATATTGAGACCGCTCTATTGGCATGTAGCTGTGAGCTGCTTCTAATTAATTGAAGAAGCACTCAGGTCAGCCATCACTTAGCACCTCTTGCTAGTGCATGAGTTACCCAGGTAGCCTAGCACTAACTCATCTGCTTGATAAGTAGGACTACGACACATAACTTATATAGTAACCATACCCTGCATCGATCTAACGTCAAGACATGATATTTCACATATGCCACAGGTATTCGCTTCTAATGCCAGTGAACGTGCTTTGTTATCTTCCCGAATATGCAGTTCTATTAGACCGCCCTTACAACTAAGTACTGCACCCATTCTTATTCAGGTAAACCCTAGTATCAGTGGTGTGTGATGTGTACCTTCTAAAAATCATGTTTAAATCATTGTTGCCAAGTCAGGCTCCAGGCCATAGACTAAGTCTCCCAATTCAGATTATTTGTTTCTGAGGTTACAGGAGTTAGTATGACAAACCTTTACGCTACCTAAGCATTCATCCGACTGATGAACAGCGGTTTTGGGAACACTGAATGCCGTGACCTCAGGACCCGGGAACCTATTAGTTTTAAGTTTCATTCTTCTTTCTGCCGTGTATTCTGTTTGGTCACAGCTTCCTGTCTTTTTGTCCTGTCCTCAAAAAGGCCGGTCAGAGCATACCCATAGAGTCCTATTTTAACCTGATGTTCATTTCTGAGAACAATAGCACGTACTCCGAGAGTACCAGAACAATCTTTACAAGAAGCAGTACAGTAACGACTTCTTCTGATTAATTCTTGTTTAATGTTGACATTTTTTTCCCGTGCACGCCAATGAAAGACTCTGATAGAGAGTGATACACTAGTGATGTGACAAGTTTACAAGTAAGGAGATTGTTGCTTTGGTGCTTGTGAGTCTGCCGACTCCTTCAAGTTCTAAATTACAACACTGCAGTTTATATCACTGACTTCGGATGTCGTACTTACAGTCTTTGAAGCCTGTTTAGCGTCTCTAGAGATCTTTACTGCCAAAGCTGTGTCGACCGATCTGTCTTTTAACTTAAAAGCACCAGCTTGCCCGAACTAAGATGCCTATATGCCATAAGAAGGGTCACATTGATCTGAATAACATAGTACAGTGAGGGAGTCAGAATTACTGAATGGTGAACTGACTGAAATGAAGAGTTTGGAGGATTTCCTGTCTTTCCTAAGCTTAACGAGGTGTTAGGAACATAATTTTGCCTGCCTATACGTACTCCAAAGACCATATCATCTTTTTTTCTTCCACTCCCTGGCTGGCCTCCATTATTTGTACTGACCTGTTTTTCATGATATTAGGTGTTTCGTCTCCGGACTTCAAGATCATAATACTATCAGTAACACTCTACGAAAGTTTTCTAGAGACCACACAGTCAATACCTTCTTGAACCAAGGTGGCTTATAATGTGTGTTCTACTCATTTTCAGGTAAGAAAAATCCATGAGTGCAGTAACAGTAATAGAAATGTCCTACGAACCAAAGCTAAATATTACCAGGCCACGATATAGTTCTTACTCGTGAAGTTTGCAACTGTTTTTCTAAAATCTCAAGGCAGTGGGTGCTGATTTATCTCACTGTGTATTCTATTGGATTGGTATTTTCCTACTGTAATATCTCCGCATTTTCTTCATTGATTCCAATCACTTTTGTTCGTTTCGATTTTTTTTTGTAGATCATTAGCTATTTTTTGTAATGCAGTACAATTTGACAATTTGAAGCTGTCACTTACAGGAAATTAGAGTTGTTCTGCATAGTTCTATAACGTATAAGCAAAATGAAGTGATCATAAAAATCATGTTTTATCTTTCCTGAAGATTCATTTGACCAGTTCGTTTCCGGTTCTCAGGAGTAGAATATCTCAAAAATATATAAAGCATTAGAACAACCCTCAAATTCATTCACTGGTTTGAAATACGCAGAGTAAGGAAGGAGGAAAAACAAACTAAGTGAAAGAGAAGCTCTGGAAAAAAAGCGAAATGTGGGTCATTCCGATGAACATAAAGGGTAGTTAGGTGTCAGCATCAACGAAAAGATAGATTATGGACATATTTAGACCAACACAGTTGGGCCAGGGTACTGATGCGATGACTCATCAGTTACAAGGTTTATAGAACTTACAGACCCCTGCAATCAAGACGCATCTCCAGTCGAAATTCGTTGAAATCATAGGTATATTTAATTGATAGAACTATGGAAATAAACATTAAGGTTTGTTAACTGATTTGTAGTGTCGTTCTGCTCTCAGGTTAGTGTTAGTATGCAAGACTTATATGTCGACATCATTAACTGATATGAAACAGACCTTATCGTTAAACTACTACTGGTCTGGTGTGGCTGAATAACCATAGAGATATAACTCAAGAGCAGATTTATGAATCAATTTAATAGTGGATTATAAAAATATGCCTTTCATTGTATTTACCGAATATCTAGTTTTACCTAGGAAAGTTTAAGTTTCATTAAGTAGAAGTAGTTAGACTGTGTCCATCTAAGTTATGTGGTATGATTCACCTGCAGTTCATTTAGATGCTTTGGAAGGCTAAAGCTTTAACCAGTTAATAACATATCAGAAATCTCAGTTTTAAAGAAAACCAACCATTTCATGTTATGGTAGTCATGTAGTAAAGTGATAATGGATGAAAATATACTTACACAATCTTTCACAAAGATAAAATTAGAAAGGAAAGCAGGGTAGAACCTAGCACAAAGTAAGTACAGTTCAAGTTGGTATACTTTACAATCTAGACGATTAAAAGAATACAAAAGCCAAACAGAAGGATATAAATGGACACAGAATAAATGACCAAGAATAATATCATGCTCAAAACTTCTGAAGTGATGAAAGGTGAATAAATTTATATCGTTGTGATAAATATTGGTCAGCGTCACTAGTACACGATGACGACAACTCCCAAAAATATAGGGTCCTTATCCAGGTATCCAGGACTTCACTACGTGACCCAAACCATCAACTTGAGATCTCTAGAGCTGGTTAACTGTTCAGATTTAGCGGCCATTAGCTTTATTTTAGCCAAATCCTGCCCAAAATTTGTTGTAGTTCATGAAAAACGGTAACCCATCATGCGTTACACATACCACGGAGCCTTAAGTAGGCGGTGGTTTATAAATTATTCGTAAACTTTAGATGTAAGCCGTTGTTCACTATCTAACCTAAAAATTTATCACTCTGTAGTTTGACCTTAAACTGTCTAAAACGATGAACTTGACCAGTTGCCTTTAACTTTCTCATATTATCCACATTCATCTCTCATATTTCAAAGCAACAGAATAGACCACCCAGTATAAAAACCATCACCTTCCCATTTTCAAAAGGTAATAAGACTTGGAAAAACACCATGGATCTCATATTCGTAAATTCTCGCCATCTACCGCTGAGTTCATATGAAGTCGTTAGACCTACTAATCAGCTGTATTTTCCGGATATTCCGGCACTCTTCAGTTGTTAAGTCTTCCATATCTTATGCTTCAGAGGGAGTGAACTCTGTTTAGTTGCCAGTATACGGTATAATAGAGCCTTATCACATCCAGATATGTGACTGATCGTTTCAATGATTTTTGTAATTAATTGTGCAAATCCATATACTAATCATTAGTCGTTCTCGATGATAATGTTTTGAAAATTGCCCGGAAACCTTAAAACCCCCCAACTCGAGACTCTCATCTATCACCAAATAAAGCTTATCAACAGTTAGTTCATATGGATCGATTTGAAGGTGGATGATTGGTGTAATGTAAATGTCAATCATCATCACCATTGTCAAAGATGAAAATGGCAATCATGCTTCTTGAAATATTCATTGTTTGAAAGTTGTGAGTTGAAACTGCTTCAGTACATGATGACTGATGTAGTTGTCAGTTCTATCAATCAAGCTGATGATGAAGTAACCAGTCCAGATGAAAAAACAACATAGTCCTGTATGTTTATTGTTAGATGTTTGAAATCCTTAGCCACAAATCTCTGGTTCTGGACTTTGCACCCTTCGACATTTGTCAGTAAGAAAAATTATTGTCTAGAGCAAACTTATCTTGAAAATCTGGATCTGATGGAGTGTAGTGGTGAGGACACTTATCTCAAGAGACTTTTATTGGTCTAGTAGCAACCTATTGGATGTTTTTAGCGTGTTAAGACAACACGGTTTACATTTTAGTGAAGGTGGTCACCTCATTGATAAACATTAGTGGAAATTTTTCTCTTCATTTAATAAGTGTATCTTACGGGAAAACAGAACTACTTTTGCGGTTTCGTTTTAAGCACAATTTATCTATAACCGTAATATAAACTTGGAATGATAGGGTGAAAAGCTGGACAGTGTATAGTTTCTTTGATTTCTTATTAGATATGACACGAGCGCCATAAATAGTGCAAGGTTACAAATTTCAAACAGGCCTTTTGTATCGTTGCTGAGATTACCTCATCAGTCAACCTATAATAGACAAATAGGGGAGGTGGTCAATACACTCACTTTCTGTCCATAAACTAGTAGTGTGTACATGAGAATATCGTAGCGTCATTTTGCATTTTAGATATGCGAAATGTCTATGAAAGATACTCAGATTTCAGCAGAATTCGTTTAAGAGAATCTACTGCTCATCACAATTTCTGTGTGACGTGACTATGTTTTCTGTGTACTATGAACCAGTCATGTGTTCTTCGGGAAGTAGGTCATTTTCTAAGAAGTTGGAGGTACACTAAGTCAAATCCATTCAAACTTGCATGCCGATCACAAATGAGAAAAGTGTCTGGACTCTCCTTGACGAACGCTCATGGTAGTCATTTTTAGATAACACCTGCACGTAGGTCCTCTCTCACTAATGTCAGTTTGAGTAAACAGCTTTAATAATCATTCATTTATTGTACTGCTAATTTTATCCTTCGGATTATTTTGTCCAGTAACAAAAGTTTCTTTTATCGAGACAATACCAGTGAGCATTATCGTCTGATCAGACCTGGTGGGCCAGTGGCCAAAGAAATTTCTGCACGGATGTAAAAGGTTTGACTAGTTTTTACCAACTTACACCACCTATGGAGCAGCCGTAATGTCCAGTTATCTATTAAGAGTCAAGTGTACTGTGTTATAGTCCTGTCTGTCCTACTCTATGGTTGTGAAACAATAGCACCAAAGGTAGAGGACATGAGAAGATTTCCGGTGTTCGATAACCATTACCTCCGTAGTATAGGACGTATGTCGTGGTTTCACCATATGAGTGATGCAAAAGTCAACTGTAGAGTTGTAGAGGGGAAAGGAATTTCAATTTATGCGGTAGTGAATTTACATCTACGCGTGTGACTGGGATATGTTACGCATACTTAGTCACCTTCTGGGTAGTCGTACAATGTTAGCTGAAGTAGGTTCAGGTTGGAAAAAGGTTCAGGGCAATTGGACTAAGATATGACATCAGTGTACGAAGTCTTTGACTATTGGTCTGAACCATGTAGGTCAATGCAGACTGGTCGGTTGCAGTTCACATGAGAAGAAAAGCCAGTGGTGGGAGACTATAGGTGACTTGGCTCATAGTCTATCTCAGTTATGCAAATGAATGCATACTCTATCTTCATCATAACTGATACACTGAATTCAGCATTTTCTCACCTCTCCTACATTTTCTTTATTACTTTGTACTGTTTTTTACCGATTCTTTTGTCTTCCTTCGTCTTTTACCCTATCGGTTTGTTAAGTGATATGTTAACACAAGGCATGGAAACTTGGATTGTTACATAGTAAGTTCTGATCTCATTTGGATGTTGATGATGGTGATGAATTTTGGAAAAAATTATACTTGCACAACTTCATCACTAACAATGTGAATGACATATTTTCCTATGCTTTTGTTTTCTTAACAATGCGTTAATATAAACACAAAATGCTTTTGTTTGGCAGAAGTCTTTACTCATATAACATGTACTAATATACCCGTTTTTGAGACATGTAGTTCTTGAAGTTTAAGTACTTCCAAATGTATTTTATGCTGATGAAATCGAAGCATATTTCATATGATCAAACCATCCTGTAACTTACCCATTCTTGTTTAATATTTGTTTGTTATTTATTGAATTGTTTAAATATTAAGGTCATTAGAACGATGGGATAGACTGAAAGCATTACTTTCCAGGAAAGGACTAAGTGTGTACGAGTATGAGGATTATAGTTCGGTTGGGTTTGTTATGGAAAATGAGTTATTCAAACTGAGGCAAACTCGAAAGTTAAGACTACTGAATTCTCATGGTAAGTTTTTTAGAAGCTTTTATGAGTTTAACTTTCTAATGAATGTCAGTAAGCACAATATTTTTATGCACTATTCCTGTTTAAACAGACAGAATCTTTAATTGACCATGGAACTTACCTGTTTTTTCAGCTAATCCAATTAAAGGTAGACAGTTATCAAAAACCGGGAATTTTAGTAGATCTCTATTCTTTTATTGTATATTTTAGTTTCCAAGCTATAAATAAGATAGTATTACTGCATCGGAAACTATTTGACGATACAATGTATTCAATAAAAGTATTCTGACATCTGTGGATAGGTGTTACATGATGTTTCTCTACATGGAGTAAACATGAGACCTATTTGTCCCACTGCATGAATATTTACAGGATCAAAACTATTTTACAACAATGTCATGCTTTTAACCTGATGCATAATTACGATTTTATTGGGAATGGCCTGAAAGTTGGTGGGATCACAGTAGTTCTTGCTGCTCCAGTAGATAAGATATATATATATATATATATATATATATATATATATATATATAATGCTTGTAAAATCAAATAAGACATATTGGTAAAAAAGATTTGATGTTTGCACTGAGTAATGTATTTATTTGTTGATGTGTTGTCATACACATATACTGGTGGATATCGATATATAAGCCATCCTGTTAATTTATTTCAGCTACGATATTTGAAAGTTTGACACTATGAATCGATTCACTTTTGTGTTGGTATTTGCTTTGTTTCAGCCATTTAGGCAGTTATTTAGCCATTCATTAGTTAAAAGGTAAATATTACACCAGTTTAAAACTTCAGCGTATATGAGAAAGATAGTGATAAAATAGGGTTGAAATATTCTCCTTGACTGTTTTTAAATTTAGATGTACGTAAAATAAAGTTGAACAAACACTCTTATGATGAATACTACAGGTTTTATTTAATGCCAGTAATACAATTCAAAGTTTATTCATTTCATGGGGTATAAGTCATCCTTGAGAAGATAAGTTACAGATGCATCTTGCTTTAACTTAGTCGAGAATCATACATGAGATTCAGGGCAGACGAGCTGTACAAAACGTCTAGCAGTTATTCTACCAACTTCAACTTTGAGATAATTTAGAGGTGAATACTTAGGCCCTTAGTGAAGTATACGACAGCAAGTTATCACATTGAATGCATCTTTCTGCGGAATACTTTAATCACTGCAAAAAAAGTGCGTATAGTCTAGCTACAAAAACGTTTTCACTTTGTTCTGAACAGCTAATCGGCAATATCTTCTATTCTGGCCCTGAAACGGAAGAAGATTTGAATCTAGAAAGTATTCTATGTTTGTTCTTCATTGGTGTATATAAAGTTTGATGATGATGTTTAACAAACAAAAAACAAATGTAGAGTATGTTTCTAAGGAATACTTGCAAATAGTCAACACAAAATCCTTCTTGGTATATGAATGAGAACATTCGACCATAGTGATCGTTACCATGAATGATAGCACAATAGTAAAATAATAGTATGATATACAACCGATCATCAAAGGACAACTTTAAAGGTCACTCTAGCAACAAGCGAAATAACCAATCAGACTTCTCTATTTTATGAAAAACTGCCTTTTCAGCTGAAATGGAGAAGCTTAATTGGTCATTTCGATCATTGCTAGGGTGGCCTTTAAAGTCACCCTCATAGAGTCAATGTGTCAACTAAATATAACGCATATGAGTGCTGTAATAGTACCGTATGCTGAAACCACAGAAAAGTAGGTAGTTACTTCCAAAGCACATATATTTTTTGTCTATTCTCTTCACATTTGTTTGCGCATAAATTACGGCCAAAATATGCAATTGTATTACACTAACTGATACACGTTCTACATCTTCTTGGATTATAAGTTGATTATAAACTAAAATATCTCAATGTTAATGATGGATAGTGGCTTGAAGTGGAATCCAGGACGCGCATTTCATACTAGGCGAGACTGGTCAGCTGGATATACCCGCAACAACATTAAAATAAGTTGAGTCTGAAAGTAAGATAGCACTTATATTCTGAAATGTTACTTCGAAAAGACAATTTTAGTAACCTTACCATATCGGATAAAACAAACTGCATCAATTTCTAAAACTGGGTTAATTGTCAAATCTTATGGCACTTTTCAGGTTTTCAGATTTATTGTAGCTAGACTAAAACAATTATAGGCTTATCTCAACACTAAATATTTAGAAAGGTAATTTATGAATATCTATTACAACTCTTCACTTATTTAAAATAGAATACTCCCAAAACTGGCAACATTGTTGTATACTTTTCATAATTAATAAGTGTTCAGTTAGCACTTCATTGAATAACTATTTATTCATTAGGGTTATTTTACAAAGGATTTCGGTAAAGCCATATGGTAAGTATACGATGATGAGCATCTCTTATGTCTACTTTATACAAATCCTAATATTAATGTATTGCCTGACAGTCAATCATTTTTCATAATTTCTGAAAAATTTATGGGTATCTGGTTTAGTCAAAATTACTAAGTGAATAGAATACTCATCCCTATTGTCTCATTACCTAGCTTTTGTCCATCACAATTTGTTTCTCTTGATTGGCAAAGCAACGTAAAATTATGGGGGAATGTATAAATGAGCAAAATATTTAGATTTCACTCATCAGACTGAATCACACTGTTGATGATACTCTCTGGTTGCTAGTTGTTAGTGGTCACAGAATAGATGAGACGAAAGCTTTCAAGGTGATTTACCGCATCCCACCGAACCTTCCCCCTGGGGTTGGAATTTGCTCTTTACATATAGTTGAGGCTATAAGAATTCCAATGAACAATTCAAGTATCTATATTCAGGAGAAATTTGTACGACCTTCATCTCTGCCTTGGCCATGGAAAATTTTATGAATGCCAGTATAAATTTTCAGGTATGTTTCTTCCTCTTTTTATTTTATCTTCGTTCCACCACTATTATATTCACACTGAAAGTTCATTTATTCACCATCTACATCCTCCAGTGTTATACAACCTTATTGTTCTCTTCCATGATTTGACCTATTTTGTATTTCTGTTCGTATAAACAATCGTTTACACTGTTGTATCGGTCTGAAAATTAGTATTATCATAACTTATTTGGTTGTGGCTAGCAGGATAATCCACAACGCTCGTTTTGTCCTATTGAGGACTTGCCAGCTGCATTCACTTGAATTCTAGTGAGTGATATTGTCCCTACAGAGACTCGGACCTCGCACTGATAGCTCTAAGTTACACAAACCGTATACTTGTCATCCGCTACCCATAAATTACTTTGACTGGTTGAAATTTTTCTAAATTTGTTGAAATCTATGTCTATTAGAGTGAAGTCTGCTGAGAACTACTTCAAAACAATATTGTTCGCTTACATATCCTGTTATAACTCTGTAGACAGTTAGATTTCGGTACGTTAGGTGGAGTTGGGGTCATCGACTAATTATGGACTATCCAATACAATGTTCTAAAGCTCCAAATAAACAGTTTTAAAATGTTGCATGACACTGAAAAATGCGTGACTCATTTTTCCTGCTTCTGAATAGGTCAAAGTCTATCTGAAAGTTTGCCTGGATAATATAAATGATAGGATTTATTATTGGAAAACATATTTTCTTCTCCCATTTTAACTATAAGTTCCCATGTGAAGAGGTTAGTGACACATATATCATCCTGTTTTTATGTGATTAATAAGCCAAAGATTTCATATTAAAAATCTTTGGAAGTCCTACTGTATTTCTGAAGACATGATAGTCACAGTATGAAGACTTTTTTGATGTATATTCATAACCACCATCAATAAAAAGTGTTTCAGTAAACGTACTTTTAAAGGATGAAAGTTTTCCATGTCTTTGGATATCTGAGTTTTATTTAATACTTCAAAAGAACGTTTTTAAATTTGATTTCAAAACTGTTGAAAAAGACAGGTTTATTTGAAAGGTGTTTAGAGAATGCCTGTTGAAAGTGCATGGTGCCAAAATTCCTAGTTAACTAAAAAGTAATATATTTGAAATGAGTTGTGAAGTCTATGGATTTGATTTATTCCGATAGCATGTCTTTTAAGGTGTCCTTTAGTCAAACTAAATAGTTACCAAGTGTTTCCTGACCTTCACTAATCAAACATTCAAATAGTCTTATACCTCAGATAAAGTTTATCATGACTAAGAACGATATAGACAGGCCTAGATATACGACTAGTTGTGCAGCAAACAAGTAACAGCTTCTAATGCAGTTTTATCCAGCTTACACACAAGAAAATGTCTGTTAGATGGAAGAGAATACATACTGTGTTTACTGTACAACTGTTTGTATAAAATTAAAATGCGCTTAAGGTAGATAAGATGGAGTGCATCCTTAAGGCAAAGGTAAAACCAGCATAAAAATATCGTCATAAACAGAAGAAATAAATGGAAACCGAAACAAATGCGAGAAACAACAATTTAAACCTTAATAAATACCCTAACAAAAATGTGAGCAGTTATGGTCATTTTCAGAGAAAGAGATATCCTCAATAATACCATTTTTGGATTTTATAGATTTTCGAAACTACGAAGCCGGGCGTTTGACTGACCGTCTTGCTTTCCATTGCAGAACAATTTTATTGACTCAATCCAAGATAGTTTTCTATAATATAGTTTATAAATTCTTCGAAGATTAACAAATTATCCACCGGTTTCTAACTCACCTCGAAATAGATTTCTAGAGGTAAGTGACTTGTTCAGTCAGTCCAATGACACTGGATGATGGGCGTGCAAGATATTTCGAACCATCTGGTCACAAATTTCGCATAAAATGGCTTGACAAGTAAATGTGTGACCAGACTGTTCGAAGCGTATTGCGAAAATACATCATATTTCCTAGATAACCTCCATCTTCTTATTACATTGTGCAAAACTACATATCTCGTCAATGTCCATTTTCAAATGACAAGAAGGAGGGATATATAGAAAGTACTAAACTTCCCACGTCCTCGACATTGTTTCTGATTACTTGTAGGTAGTAGTCTGTAAACAGAAAACTTTAGTATATCAAGAACAAGAAGGCAAGGCAGAATTTCGCTAATGTCTTACTTTCTGTCACAGACTAATTGCGTTTTGAACATTACCTTGAGTCATGAGTATAGTTGTAAAATTACTTTTCTGGATCTGATATTCTGATTTCTTCTTGAAACTGCAACTTCTACTACTATTTTGGTTTTTATGAAGTTTCAGATGTAAATCTTTATGAACAAAAACCAAAGTTCGTTTCGACAAAGCATCTAGAAGAATTGGAGGAGATTTTAGACCAATTCTGCTTATCTGCATTAACAGATAAAAATGATACAGTGAAATCATTGGACAGCATATTGAATTTTTATAAACTTAAAGATTGGAGTTCTAAACTGAAAAGAAGTGATCAAAAACTAAAGTAATTTATATGTCAGTGTTTTGTTCCTAGTTTTATTAAAAAAGTTTATTTGGAAAACCTAGGATTACAAACAAATGATATGTCTACAAACTAGTTCACCGAAGATTATTTTTATTTTTAGACTACAAAATAACAGCCGAAGTTGGAAAAGGAGTCTCACCTAGATCATAGCATCATTCAAAATGCAGAGTTTGGCATTATCTTTTATCTACACTATCAGGAAAGCTAGGGGGAGACGACTACTTGCAAAGTTTTCAAGGTTTGTTGCACTGTACAGCTGAGCTAATAATATATCAATTTTGAGTGGGAATCTATGGTTGAGCATCATATTTGGTACGAAGAGAACGATTACTAGTTTGTTGTTTATGCATAAATAAGATACAGTATTAAGTGATCCAACTGAACTATTTTGTCTTGTACCACAGATTTAGCAATAACCTTTGTAATACAAAAAACTGTTATTTCTATTAGTTTCTGCTTTGATTCAAAACTGCATATGTTGAAGTCAATCTTTAATTTGTTGTGCAGAATGTGAGTTGGGACACTTGTCTGCACTTGTTATCGAGAACAATATATATGCTATTACAGTAATTGTACAAACTAATCTATAAAAGCTAACACAGGCCAGTTACAGAAGTTCAAAAACGTCCATAAGCACTGGGCATTCAATTGCAAGAGATAATGTATTAAGATCAAGTAAATGCAAATATCATAAATCTCAGTCTTGGTAAAGATGAAGTGCATGTTAAATTGTCATCGGAGGAATTACCGCTCAACATATTTTAAGTACTTTTGGAGTATAACGGCTTTTATTAAAGTCAAAAGGTGATGGGTATTCGAGTTTTAGAAACTGTATGTGAAGAGCGCGGTCAATGAGTCGAAAGATTTATTCAGTAAATGTCTAATCAATGCCAACTAGTGTGATGACCTGAAAATATCATCGGTAAAAAGAACACTACCTGATTCAAAGGCAACGTCATTCTTCAAATGAACACAGGAGGCATATATAAGCCAGAATAGGGTTTTTGTCTTTACGGAAACTATACTTCCTCTTGGAATACGATTAAGTCTCATTATCACAGACTGAAATATGCAATTATTTTATCGCTGTATGCACAGAGTGAATAAGGAACGTCTTGTAATATTTGACTAATAAAATACTATTTATTTGTTGTTCAAAATTAAGTTATGACACCAAAGTAGCTGTCAAGCTAGGAGATCATGCTCAATATATTTCACACAGTGACTACAAAATCGTTTCATTAAAATTTATTTACCTCCTTATTGTAGTAAGACGCTAAAAGTGGTCATAACTGCCTTATTCACTGATGAAGTTGCATGTAAACTAAAGATGACTCATTTCTGCTTATGTCAGCAACATTTTTCCACTGTATGAGAGAGAAATTTTATTTTAGTAAAAAATGTCTTCTTAAACGTACAACATATAAGGTCGATGGATGTTCTTAGAAGCTTATCTACAATGAAAAGCATTCTATGGATCCAAAGTACTACCATAAGTGTTCAGAGGATAATTTGATAAAGAACTGCTATTTTGTTTACGACAGAATGAAGTAATAATTAAGTCGGTTAAATAAAACTTAGAACACGAAGTCAAATACCTACTTTGTTGTTCACTGTATTAGGACCATTAGAAATGTAGAACTGCGATTTCTTGTATGAATTTATTTCTTGACATATTTGCAGGGTCATTCTTGTCCGAGTAGGAAAAATTCATTCCGCTCAGCAGTAAATAAGGACAAAACTAGTGATTCCATTTGACAGTTTTGAGAATTCAGCTTAAATACACCTGTTTTAAAGAGGGGTAAAATAGTAATGAAGACCAGATAGTCAAAACAATTGTCTACTTTCTGTTTGGTGAGGCTTATTAGTGTATGTAACTGACCTTTGAAGCAAATGTAGAGTCCTTCTAATTTTGAAAGAGCAAGTTACTGTTGAGCAGTTGATCGTCAACCTGCTTTCCTTTATTTTCAAATTTCAGTTAGTTTTATTTGAATCAACATTCAAGAGGATAGGTAAGCTGGAATGTAACCATTAATGAGTGATATCTGAGTTTTCAGTAAACAGGAAATGTTCTATTGCACTGCATTTTCTAACATATATATATATATATATATATATTCAATCATTTTCAGAAATATTGGCGAAAACCAGCAACGAGATTCGTTTCATAATCGAATCCTTGTAATTACTGGTCAACCTGGTATCGGAAAAACAAGATTTCTAACTAATTGGTTGAATAAACGAAAAACCACTGGTTTTACATTTAAGCCTAAAGATTCTAACTTGGCCAGATTGATAACTGTTACAACTCTCGATGAAACAGATAATGATTCACTGAAAATAGAGAGTGAACGAAGTATAATCTTTATCGAAGAGTACATTGAGGTGAATAAATGCAATTCAGATATATGGCAACTGTTAGATGAATTAAACTTGAAAGCTAGAAAAGCACGATGTAAAGGTAAGCCTTCTTTTCCTAAAGTAATTTATCCAGAGTAATTCAGTGTCTATTCTTCCACAGTGAATTATGTTAATTCTGGGAATATAAGCATGGTCTTAAAGTAGTCCACCTCATAGATAGATATCCTCAGAGAACTGGATAGCACTGGACAAAATCCTCTTCCCTCAAATAATGACTCCATGAGAGTGTTTGTCTTCATCCCTTTGATGAATGGAAATCAAGACCTTAATATCTGGTGGTGAGCACCATATCATTCTGCCATTGAGTTCTGTTCCAGTGATTCATATTTAATCACCTCCATCAATTCTTAATGTGGAGTGGTCATTATCCATTGTCATTAGCAGCAAATACATCTTTAAACCTAACTTAGCCTTCCGCCTAACCGACAGCTTACTACTACAACCTGTGGAATTTAAACAACATGAAGTCAAAATAAGCACTGAATGTTCATTCAGCTAATTGACATCAAATTATGATGAAAATTGGATGAGAATGAATCACTATTACGCAACACTCAATTGAATAAAGATAAGGCTTATGAAAACGTTCTCATTAGTTTGGTAAAGTAAAGTAGGCGATAATTATCATCTCAAAGATGACAAAAGCTATTCAGTATTTTAGCAAAGTAACATTACCATGAATAGAATGGTAATTTCAGCTAGTAATAGCATTCTATAGTAAACATTATTTGTCAGTAATCAAGAAAAGTCGAGAGATAACTTGAGCATTGTTTCTTCTAAAGAAGCATCGTTGGTCGTAGTTATAAATTCTCCTGTAGAATTCATCTTATAATGTTTCAGACTAAGATGAGGTAGAGATAAATACTTTCCTAGTTTTGGGAAATAAGTTAGCTGCTAAAAATTATTCCCGATACCTTTTGTTGTTTTCGAACATATTACTTACAACCAATGAACATCCTATCCCAACGTCAATTTATATTTCGCTAACTAGATTTCTAGTAGTGTTTATGAAAAGCCAAAGTTTGAAGTAAGTGACCAGTCACGCATTATTCTCATTTAAACAGTTAATTATGTTGGCATGTTAGTGGGGTATCATTTCTTGTTACTCTGGAATTCTCAGAGACCACGTCCTACTTCTGACTCCTGGTTAGGATTTTATTCTGCGGTATTATTTTTAAAACTGTGATAGTAATGAAGGCTATACGTTTTCCATCTTCGTACTTAGCTTGAAAATTTGCAAAATCAACCGTTCTTCTGAAAACTTTTTAGTCAGCTATAAGAACCGCTGTAAATTGTGAGAAGTCCAGATGAAGTTGTACATTTACTCCCTTCAGAAGATAATATTTAAATAAATGCTGATCAGGTAGAATGCCAGACTCAGCCGAAGGTAGAATAATCATTCAAACAGCCTAACTTACTCTCAGAAAAAGTAAAACATTAACTAAGAGACTTATTAACAAAGCAAATAAAAGAAGAAAAAAGAAAATAAGATGCTATAAATCAACTGATGGATGGTAACCAGATGACACAGTAAATTATTGCTTCTGACTGCAGCTTCACATTATTAATGCATGGCAGAAGTGAACTTGACAATATAAACATGTTATTTTGAGGCACTTGAGTATATTTGATGCGGCAACAGGATAACTTAACGTGAAGCATTTGTTTAGATAAAACCTAACAATCAAAATGAGTTCATCTGCAGTCATCTTAGATTTATTTAATAATTTAAGACTGTACGAACTATTGATACACCAACTTAAGAGTTATAGCCGTTATATTCAGTAAATTGGTAACCCAATTATCGTTTTTTTGAAAAACAGTTTAGATATATTACAGCGATTTCATTCAGTCAGTAAGTTATGAATGCCATTTCGAATGTGGTTGTTTCAACTGGATATTAAAAGATTTTATTTACTGACATATATAAAATAACTTCATACATTTCATTCATAAAAATCAGCATAAAAGCTTTGTAGCTACGAGTGACAATGACCAATCAATTGACTTTTTATCAACCCTAATATTTTTTTGCAACTGAATGTTTCCCCAAGAGTATCACCATCGGATAGGGAATGTCTTAATTAAAGGTAAACACCATAGAAGTGGCCATATTTGGATAAGGAAGCAAATGAACACCACAGAAAACCTAGTAGGGAAGTTGTACAGTCATCAATGAATTAAAATTGATGACGCAGTTTTCTAATCACACTAAATTTATTGTATTAGAAATTTTCGATAGGTTTGTGGGTGACTTTTTATTAAAAGTGTAAGCTAGTGAAATAAAACGTTTGTAAATATGAAATTACTAAAAAAGCTGCATTCATTTGTGTTTCGGCATCTATCTACAGTATGCGCTAACATTTTTCCTGAATGTCAGATATAAAATTTTCAGGACTGATAAATAACTATCTTAACATGTAAAACGGTTGGATAGTTTTTACGTTTCTGATATTATTCAACTTGAATACATTTTTTATATAAAGTAAGTTATTCTGGAGTATTTTACTTCATTCAATAAGTGTAAGTGGCAATACTGGTTATAAGAGATGCGATTTTTCATAAAAGCTTCTGTAAGCTGTTTCTAGGTGACAAGTCAGCAAAAATATATTCAGTAGCTATCCTAAACTTCATACATAAGAGTCATAAGCAATGCATTCTGTAGTTAAATATTTACTAGATACTACCTGGTTTTCAGAGGTAACTTCTTGTAGTTGGTATTCATTATAGTTATGAAAACCACCATTGAATTTTGTAAACGACAATATTTCTCGTAAATCATACCTAATAACAAGATAATAAATGCGCTAAGAAATAAAACAGACTGTAAATTGATGCAATGAGCTTTATAATTAGTAATTAATGGTTAAATCTATTACGTCTAACAAGTTTGTTAAGATGCCCGCATTTAAAAAAAGATGAATAATTTATACTGTTTTCATATATGTTAAATTATTTGTCTTACCAACAACTGTTATAGGCCTACGGAGAACATAAAATGGTATTTAAGAAATCATCAATACTTGATGCGTTCTTTTGGTTTGATGGGGGTGAAGATATAAAAATTTTTGTAACCGAGAAGAGAATACGCTTGTAGTTTTAACTCATAAAAAATAATGTAATGAATTAAAACAAATATGAGTTTTTTGTAAAATAATGTTTGCTGAAGCATATTAACAACAGCTAGGTGTTTAGTGGGGAGAGTTTTGATTCCAGGTTGAATCAGCACATGCAGACAGATTGGCTGAGGAATTCAAACATGTTTACTCGAGTTGAAAAATCCAAGGAGGTTGCCAGTTTTTGTACATTTATATCTTTAAAGCATCTTTTACATACGGTTAGGAATCTAACAGTTTGAACAAGCTTGGGCATACGTTAAGCATACCAGGCCATCGCTTGCCCCAACGAAAGATGTCAGTCAAAGCAGGATTAGGTTGAAAGGAAACTGTAGATAGCCAGAAGAAGACGTGTAAGGAGTTCATGAAGTCCCTGACTGGTTTCAGTAGTATAGGAGTTTGTAGACTGCTTATCTATGTCGCTTAAATGACAGGAATCAATGGTTGAAGGCACTTAGCAAAATGGCATAAATCCAACATCAAAGGTGGAGATGTTTACACTTTTTGAAGTTTTGAACATTCCCACTAAACATAATTCATTTATCCTTCTTTCTTATACTTCATTCCGCTAATGGACATCATTTTTCCATTCGCTTCTTCCATACATGCTGATGTGAATTACTGTAAATTAAACCGCTCAACGTTTTTACCAGGTTCTGAGTCTATCTGTCTGTCGTATAAATAACAAAAGGACACGGAAAACAATACACGAGTTATGCTTAATTTTTTAGGCGTGTAACTTAAATCATTCAGTGACCTACCAAACCTCTAATGATGAGAATGATTGAGATATAATATTGTGCGCCTAAGTCAACCTCGCCCAGTTAACTAGTTCACTAGTTACTTGCCGGTCCTAAGCCCGGGTAAAGAGGGAAGGTTGGGCATAGGGCTAGCAACCCTACCCCGTAAAACAAATCTAACCGCTAAACAAACTTCAAAGCACAAACGAAATATAAAAAATATAAACAAACTTATTCCCTGCTGGATTCGGAGAGGCGAAATGACGCCAGTTGATGAGTGCCTTCAGGAAGCCGATTGCCTGATGTGTCTTCTCTCCCTAGATGAAAGCGAAAGTAAACGTGAGAACATGGAATGTCCACACGATGTTTGAACCCAGCAAGGCAGCCCAGATTGCAAACGGGATGAAGAGGTATCACACTGAAGTGCTTGGAATTTGCGTAAGCAGATGGAATAGGAGTGGACTCTCCAAACTGTCAACTGAAGAATCAATAATCTACTCCGATATTGTCACCCAGACGACAACCACGAGTACACTGAGTTATGGAGTAGCTATCATGATGTCCCCTTCAAGAGCATCGAAGGCTCTCATGCAGTGGGAACCAATCTCCTCAACGATCAGGATCACGACAGCAAGATTCAACTCAAAAGGAAGGAAGGTCACAATCATACAATGCTACGCTATGCACCTACAAATAATGCAGATCAAGAGAAGGAGGAATTCTACAGACAACTTCAATCAACACTGGACAAGACACCACTCAAGTTGGCGATATCAAAATTCTAATGAGTGGGGCGACATGAATGCCAAACTGGGAGAGGACAACACAAACAGAGAACTAACCATTGGTCGATAAGCGCTCGGTGAGGTGATGAACGAGAATGGAGAACTGTTTGAAGATTTCTGCGCATTCAATGATTTGGTGATTAAAGTCAGGCAGTGTGTTCAAGCACAAGGATATCCACAAAGCAGCGACATGGATTTCACCAGATGCACACACTAAAAATGAGATCGACTTTATCTCAATCTCAAGAAATTGGAGACAGTCTACTTGACACAAAGTCAAGAAGAGGAGCAGATGTAGGTTCACACCACTCACCATCCAGTGCAAGGAACCTTCCAAATCAAGTTAAAAGCTTTCAAGGAAGCTGGTGATAGACTGCAGTTCAAGTACAACACTCAAAAACTGAAGGATGAAATTACAAAGGAAATCTTCACGTCAGCCAGCCATCAAGACAAAATGGGAGATATCGAGGGACATCCCCAAAGAAACCTGTGTGGAAGAACACTGGAACTCTTAGAAAGAGATGTGGAAAGAAACCTGCATAACCGTATTAGGAGGGAAGAAGAAAGAAGATAAAGAATGGATCTCGATGGACACATGGAAGCTGATAGAGAGGAGGATGGTGAAGCAGAAGATAAACCAGTGCAGTGCAAGGATGAATGACGAGAAGACGAACTGAGTACAATGTATAAAAAACTACACTGGACAAAGAAGTGAGGAAGAGTGGGCGCAAAGACAAAATACACTTCTACGAAACACTTGCAAGTGAAGCGGAACAGCCTGCTGGTAGGAGAGACTTGACAACACTATATCAAATGACCGGGTTACTATCTGGATGGGAACAGATCAACGCAGATGAAACCAATAGAAGGTGATGAAGGAAATATAATTATCAAAGGAGAGAAACAGAAGAAACGATGAGTCGACCACTTCAAGAAGCTCTTGAATGGACCACCACCTGCACTTCGTCCAAAAAAACCACCTGTAGTCACAGAACTACAAGTGAACACAAGACCTCGGAATACATTCGAAGTCCTGAACTCCATAAAATTACTGAAATGTGGGAAAGCAGCAAGACCAGATGGGATCCCGCCAGATGCACTGAGAGCAGACGCAGGGACAACAGCCGACATGCTCACACCACCATTGCAGAAGGTCTGCAAGGAAGGAAAAGTACCTGCTGATTGATTGGAAGAAGGGTTACCTTGTCAAACTCCCGAAGAAGGGAGACCTCAGTGTTTGCAAGAAGTGGTGAGAAATCATGCTCCTATCCACCCGAAGCAAAATATAAGGCCGCATCATCCTGAAGAGAGTAAGGCATGCGCTGGTTTCAAAACCACAACCGGAACAGGCAGACTTCAGGAAGAGTAAATCATGTGCGGACCAAACTGCAACGCTTTGCATCATCATAGAACAGAGTATAGAATGACAGTCAACTCTACACCTCAACTTTATCGACTTTGAGAAGGCCTTTGACAGCGTCGACCGAGAGGTAATTTGGAAACTGCTTCATTACTACAGAATACCGCAAACCTTTATCCGCCTCATTCAACAATAGCTATATGAAGACGCCACATGACAAGTAATTCACAGTGGAAAGCTCAGTGATGCTTTTGAAGTAGAGACAGGAGTAAAACAAGGCTGTCTGCTTTCACCCATGATCTTCCTGATTGTTGTGGACTGGATCATACAACAAACAGTAGGAGGCGAGAAGATGGGCATACGCTGGCTAGACCGATGAAAAGAACCTAGAATATTTGGATTTCGTCGATGGCTTGTGTCTAATGTCGTACAAACTCAAAGATCTACAGGCGAAAAATAGCAAGTTGACAGAATAGGCAAGGCAGCAAAGGCGGGACTTCAAGTGAACGTAGAGAAGATGGAGGCGATGAAGATACCCAACCAACAACACCACCAACAACAACAAACTCCAATCACCATGAAAAGGAGAAATTTAAAGGAAGTAGCCTGTTTCACCTGTCTAGTCAGCACTGCCTCAACTACAGGCGGCACAGGCACAGACGAGGATGTCAAAGCAGCCAGGATCAAAAAAGCAAGACAGGCATTCATTAGCGTGAAACCAGTGTGAAGATCTTCTGCACTCAACATGTGGAACAAGATGTGGATTTTCAACACCAAAGTCAAGTCAGTGCTTCTGTATGGTTCAGAGACTTGGCGCGTTACGAAAGGGATTTCCAATAAACTACAGATATTCATCAACAGATGCCTACTCTAGCTCGTTACTGAAGATCAGATGGATTGCCAGAAGGAATATTCAACAAGGAGCTCTGGGAACGAACCAACCAAGAACCTATCACCCAACAAATATGTAGAACGAAGTGGAGATGGACTGGGCATACACTGAGAAGGCCTACTGGGGACATCACACGCCAGGTCCTCGAGTGGAACCTACATGGGGAACGACGAGTTGGGAGTCCGAGGGTGACATGGAGGAGGTCGTGCGAGGAGGAAATGAGAGCTTGTGGGCTGTCGTGGAGCCAGGTTCAAAAGATTTCATAGAAGAGAGCGCATATGAGACGTGCTACTAAAGCCCTATGTTCCATCAGGAACTCAAGAGACAAATAATAATATAATGATAAGTCAAATTTCACATGATGTATAGTATGAAATGGAGTATTATTGTTTTGGAGGCAAACTAATAGTAGTGAAAATAAGTTTTTTTGTCATAAGAAAAAACTGTATGATTTAACTAATGCAGTGATTTCTGTTTTACTGTTGTACAAACGTTTCTCTATCTCAGAGTTCAGATTCTACCATTTTGTGTATAAAGTCCTTGGCTAGTAGTAACATGCATATATGTAAACTATGTGGCTTGGGTCTTCACAATATTTAAAGTAAGGGAAACAGACTATTGGTAAAATAGTTTTAAATCAGTTATAGCAAAGTATAAATATTTGTTTTGCTAATTTATTTATCCCTCATCACTCTCATTCTTGCTTATTCTAATAATTTCCTGACATTGGTTTGTTTTGTAATGTCATGACTTGAAATATTATGGACTAATGTTGTTTGTGAACAAATCTACATCATTTTGTCTACCTGTCTGAAACACAAATTCTGGAGCCCGGTATTAAAGAATCCTATATACCACTAACAAGCCTAATAATTAAAAACTAAAACTTGTATGAAGAATTTATTGGTCCTTTCATTTTTATAATTATTATTGTTACTACAAAATTTAGTGATATTTCGTCATTAACGTTACTAAGCTGACTAACTGAAAATCTATACTAGAATATACAAATATTTTAATACAGGTCAAGAAGTGAATCCAAACTTGGGGGCTACACTTTCTGCATTGACTAGTGAACAGGAGGATTTTGAAAGGGCTCGTCAGCTTCGTCAACTTGGCTCCCGCTTTTTCGCTTCATTGAGTCCAGCTACTTTGCACAACAGGCAGTCAAATTTGCCGATAGTAATTATTATGGATGGTATAGAATATCTTGAAGATCCCCTGGCTAAAACACCTGAAGCGGTAAGAATTGAGCTCTGAGTAATGCTGTTTTAGTAGGATTCTGGTAGAAGAATCTGATCATTTTTTCTTTTGAGTTAATTTCCAGTTTTATACAATCTCATTTTAGCAGTAACGGCATCAAAACCAAATGATATTAGCGTTTTATACATTGTCATGATGATACAATGAATTATGGACAGGCATGTGGTTCTCGTAAAAACGTTATACTAAATACCGACCATCTGTAGCGGCTAATTTTCGTTAGAATTCAAACAGTCTAGAGGAAGGAAAGCAGTGAATTTAGAAAATACGTTAATGACATAGCCGTCGCCTGCCCATCTGCTTATGCAATATGTAAGAGATGTTTGACATTGTCAGTGTGTACATTCTCTAGGTCTGCAACAGTCACAAAGTCAGAAAAATGTATAGGCTTATGGATATGCTTTTCCAGGATGTTGGAAGCTTTTATGTTGCCCTTCAGGGTAAGAGGTCAATTTCACAGTATAGATTCACAGGTTAGGATGAAACGTTTCTAAACGTTTTTAGCTGAAATCAGGTTAGCGAAACTTCATAAAGTTTAATGTTTTGTATTCAATATCAAAGGTCACAAAACTTATCTCATCAAATAACTTCAGGGAATTACAAATGACATAGGAAAGGCATAAGAAGGCAAAGGGACTGACTGGGTCCTTTGTCCAATGCTATTATGAAAACATGGATTAAATGAGACAACTGTGTATGTGGATCAGATATGAGCTGAATATCATAACACCACTGAAGAAGTGTATATCACCAGTAGAGTTATTATACTGCTAGACAAATATTCAAATATGCTCGGATTTTGAAGTTGGAAACTCGTTAAACAGCACCATCACGTTGACTTGGCTTCATGAGGGTGAATATTCATGAAGTAATCCATTCCGTAGTTCAGTTTTGTAAAAATAATCACTTCGAAAGAATGTTCGTTAAGAATTTGTTTTGGTTTGTCATAAGATTTATGAAACGGATAGGATGCTTAAATTAACAGATACGTCCATGCGGCAGTTAAATTTTTATCTGCGATAAAAACCGAGGGTTCGGAAACTATACATAACTATATGGGTTTAACAAAATGAAAACGCAGTCGCAAGGATAGTGCATTTCGGCATCTTGAAATGTAAACTATTTTTGAGAAATAGATTATATTTCGACAAATCCCAACGTGTTGCCCTGAAGAACCTTGGGCCAGACTTCCTTGTTAAACGTAATTTCTTATTTCAAACATGCTGAGATTGTAACTTATACCTAGTGTTATCTTTTTACTAGGCGCCCGATATTTGTGAAACCATCTGGTCAACTCTTGACCAGGATTCATAGAATTTATTTTTGAGAAGTCTTAACTCTTGTTTAGTCATTTGCTTGCATTAAATAAGTATCATTTTATCCAAAGAGTCATCATGAAAGTTGTAAGGAAATGATTTCAAAGGAAAAACTCACTTTTTCTACTAAAAAGAAGTCTCGTTTGAGATATAAGGGAGCGAACTGGAAGGTTTCCTCTTAGGCTTCTTTGTAACACAAATCTAATGTCATTTCAAATGACACTGGAAACTAAGCGACTTTTCATTTGAAATATTTTAAGTTGATTAACATCATGAGGTTCTCAGTTATTCTTTGTGTCTGGAAGTCTTTTTAAGAAAGATGATTACACTGAAGATTGACATTATAAAAGAATATCTGTGAAACCTCAAAATGAATATCATAGCAGACAAATGAGGCTATAGATTAAGCATGCTGTTAAAAAAATGTAATAATTGAAAAGTTGGATGGTAAAGCTATTAATTTTATGGTAGTATGTATCCTACTGATTATTATCGATTCGTGCATTCAACACATTTAGCTATATTGTAGACAAATATTTTTCTGATTGAATTAGTCAAAACACCAAGAAAGAATTTCTTTCCAAGATAGGTATTGCAAAATAAATCCTGTTTTAAAAGCGCTTAATCTAGCTTAAGGGAATTACTTTATGTTCAGCAAAATGCCTAACAACTTTGATTAGTTTTCTTCTCTCTTGTTGTTAATAATAGGAAAAACCACCTAATAATGGTAAACTGCTGTAGTGAAGGTATGAAAGTATGATGTTTAGGCTGAATCTCTAACACTTAATGTTTGAAAAATAACTTTACGATGCATTTCTTAACACATTAGAAAATAAAATAAGCACAAAAGACATTTGAACTTTCTTATGCCTGAGGCTTTAATAGATCTAATTAAACGATAATTACGGTTCATGAGCATTCATTTACCCCCAAAACCTTTTTTAATTTTTTTACAAATGTGAATTTTGATGGGTACCCCAAAAGATAAAAATATGGCATTTATGGCAAATGAAGGAGTAAATTTATCAAAGTTATCATCTCCGGCATAGGTCAATAATGTATAAGCTGTAAAGATTCATTGTAGTGTGTTAGTGATGAAGGCATAACTTCAAACGACAAGTTTAATTTATTATCAAGTGCTACACACATTAGCACTATCATGCTATCTGTACTATTAAGAGTAACAGTTTCAGCCATGAATGATATGGACTTTGCATAGTAGTTCACTGGATAATTTAATTCCTAACTGACTGATGTCGTTCACATTACTGAATCTGAACTCCATGAGTAACTTATGTGATGATGGCTCATATAAATCTATCGTTTCATCAATCCATTACGAGACATTTGTGCGTCTTCATACATTATCCATATTACGTTCGTCATATCTCATTTTGCTAACTGAAATACACCTGTTTATCTTATGATTGTGGATGACTTTAAATTACATTTTCTCCGTTTTTCCTGAATATAAGTAATAACACTAAATATTTAATGATGCTTACATTAAAATTTACTTCAGTGTAACTATCGCTTAATTACTTAACAAATTGTTTGCGACGGTAATTATGAAAAATGTAATGAACTGTAACTGGAGAAACATTTGCATTACCAACATATTCACTACGATAACCATCGACCATATAAACACTTTCTTCTATTAAACTTGGACAAAAACATAAAATGTTCCATGAATTGGTGTTTGTAGTTTATTTGAGAATTTCAACGTTCAGTGGCTTTGTTTGTAGAATTTAAGGCTTTGTTGTGAGCTATGTGCAAGTAAAGTATCATCATAAGATCTTGTGAACTACACATACTACTTGTAGGAGTCGAATAAAAGTGAAATTAAAAATGAACAGATTTGACATTTTCATCCACAAAATATCTGTCAATAATAGTAAGTAAAATCTCACCTTCGGTCAGGCACCTATTATTATTACTATTTTTATTATGTCTTTACCAATGTGAGTTCTCTTATATGTTTTAATACACCGTACATATCACCTTAATATTTCTCAGTATGTGTTTTATTTTACCTGAGTGATTTATTTTTGTTGATATGCATCCCACTGCACTAAAAATACTACATCTTAAAACCATAATCAAGTAAAGTTCATAGTCAGTTCATGGGTATCTACGGAAACATTCTGCTCATTAACTACGATAGTCAACTCACTGACATTCACAACCAGCTAAAATCTATTGCAGGCACAGTGTTTTGACCTAGATAAGTAGCTTTGGATACATTATATTAAACCATGGTTAATATTTCTTCTACCATTCACCAAATTTTCAACTTGTTTCTGCGTATAGCCTTCATTTATTGAATAGTATCTCTTTATTCTTGGTTAACAAAGGTTAGGTGTATCGATTGGTTGTTTAGTTGTCATGGAATGGGAAACGAAGCAGCTTTAAATGAAAATGGCACGATAAAAAGTGGTGGTTTGCCCATTGTACCTAGTCGAACTCGATTCATTCTCACTTGCTCTTCATCACATTACATAAGTCACCATCTAGCCAAATGTCCACTCATCACAGTCATAGAATATGCAACTGAAATAAAACAGAAAGAATTTCATCAGGCCAAATCTGTTCCAACATCCATTGGAAATCTTGAGGAGGCCTACACAATATCTAAAGAAAATAACACAGACTTTCATCAACAGGAAGAACTGATTTCCTTGTTTCCCATTTTTTCGAAATTGGATATGTTTAACCATTATTCAAGTGAAACAAAATTGGATGATCAGTCAGATCAAGATTCACAACTTATGCATTACCTACAGATGGTGAGAACTCGTATAACGAATCATATTTTTGTGAAATTATATGAAAATTGGAGTCTGCGGCATAATGCACTTGCTCGGGTAAATATTTTCCCTGTAGTTTTCTTTTAATTCATCACTGATTTATTTATCTTGAGTGTAATTTGATGCTCTTACACATTTCATGGTGTTTCAACAATGAAGCTGTCTAATTTCAGTTATAACAGTTATTGGGTGGCTATCTGACAGGGATACCTAGTGTGAGATGTTCTTTAGCATGAGTTGATATCAATTTAGAGGACAACATAGCCTTTGGGGAACTGGACAGCTGTTTCTACTAATTAGATCGATCTAAACACCAGACAACCGTTTCGCTCCTTTGGGACAGAACTCATAAGCAGTGTACACGGACAAACAGACAAACAACCAAGTTCTTCGGATAACATGGGCCTGGCCAGCTAGTGTAGATGAAGTATTGTGCCTTGAATAGGATGGTCAGTTTGCAAATGATCTACAAATTAGGATTTGTATATCACTCAAAAATCAGTGACTGTTCTTTCGTTTGGTGTTTTAGTATTGAAACATGGTTTTCACGATGAATTTATCGCATTCAATAAACATTCATTCTCTGTTTCAGTGTATTGGGACCTAAGGTATATCACTGTACAACAATGTGAATGTCATTTTTGGCAAGGTTAAGCAACGCTAATTGAACAAAAGGGATGATTTATGGAAAAAGTCATCTTGTAAAACTCGTAGGCTGATTAAATCAGATTTTCTTTGATCGAATGTAACTGACAGATAAATCTTCCAAACTAACTTTTGTAGTGTTTGGAAAGATTGAGAAAATCTTCATAAGAACCTATATGCGACTAAAGCATTTTTCAAGCAATTGCTTTGTTTCGAAGTTTTAAGAAAAAACACTTGAATCAACGTATAAATATCGGGTTAGTTGGAAAGATGAAAACTCACCAGGATATAAATCTAGAAAGGCCTGGAAATAACCTAGCCCATTCCATTGTATTTAAACCTTGTAATTTGTGCATATTGATGACGTTGCCGCTTACGCTGTAAATAAACTTTCTGTTATATTGCCGTTTTTCGCCGTTATAGAGGAACTGAGCGACCATCAAGGGTGGAATCTGAAGGTTATTGTACGAGCGCCCACACATACATAATTCAGGCTATATCAAGTCACTGTAAAGATATAAAACTAACACAATGAGTGAAGGAAAGGTAAAGCATACAAATTCACTTCAGCTGAAGTAAACGAAGTGATCTGATAGAGTTGTCTATATATATATATATATATATATATATATATATATATATATATATATATATATATATATGAATATTATTCTTCTGAGTTACCAGTATTCTCCATCACCTCAAAATACATATGCATATTTCAAAAATTTCTAATATTCTTCTTCACTGTTATTCCTTTTTTAAGTTATTGAATAAAACAATCTTTCCAGAAGGGTAATGACGCTTCAATGAAATATTTTCCAGCTTTTATATTATTTTTCTCATTTGTGCAGAGTTTAAGTAAACTATAAAAGTGTTGGGGTAAACGGTCATTTTTAGAGACCAGATGTCAAGTGGAAAGTTAACATTAGATATGTTTAATCTGCACAAACCTCTGCATGTTTAGTTTATTCAAATATAACTTATAGGTGAAATATTTTTGTTTTCATACTGTGATATCTTATGACGGGGAAAGAAAGAACTTTTAAAAACTTACCAGTTTTCAGCTTTGAACAATAAAAACACTAAACCTTCATTACAGATTAACATACTTTTCCACTTTCACAGTAAGCATCTTATAAATTTCAGTCGCTTTGATGAACTTTGCTACCACAAGGTAACGTTGTATTATAATGGTCATTTTCATCTACTCTCATACTAATATCCAGGAATTTCTATATTCCACTATATAAACTAGGATTATTTTTGCTCAATTCATTACCGCAAAAGATATTCTGGGCTAAATTACCCTATTAGGTGGGGAAAACAGCTTGAAATGTTTGAAACTATCCAACCTATGAAAGATAGAATGTCGTTCACATTACTGAATCTGAACTCCATGAGTAACTTATGCGATGATGACTCATATAAATCTATCGTTTCATCAATCCATTACGAGACATTTGTGCGTCGTCATACATTATCCGTATTACGTTCTTCATATCTCGTTTTGCTGACTGAAATACTCCTGTTTCTTATCTTATGATTGTGTATGACTTTAAATTACATTTTCTCGGTTTTTTTGTATTTTCGTTGTTATTTTATGTGTTGGTGTTGATAACAGTTCTGACAACATGTCCCATGCTGTCATTGATAAGCTGACTAACATCTTTACATTTAGAAGAGCTAAAAAGAATTACTTTACAAACAATGTCATTTCATTTGTTTACTTTGAGATTTCCTACGATAATTACCCACGTGCCTGCCACAAATTTATTACAACAAAAATTACTCCAACCCAGACAAAGAAACAAGTATATGCTTCAACAGAACTATGCATTCACTAAGAGGGCATCTAAAAGCTATTTTAAAAATCATTGCTATCACATATAACCCACTACTTGTGTTTGGACTTCAACTGATGTACATTTTAGGGAATCCTTTTTTGGTTTACTTTTATTATTATCTAACATAATTTGGAAAAACAACGAAGCCATAAAAGTACTAACCATTTTTTTCTTGTCCAAGACATTCTCAACCACAACTTTGTAAACTATCAAACCACAAAGCTTCAACACACAGCTAGCTAGCCGTGGTCGAACTCTTGAACTGAGATTTATGTCTAATATTTTTGACTTCACTTCGTCACATAAATAGCGCAAAACTCATAAAACGTCATAACTAGTTAAGCGTGTGAATATTTAAGTTCCATTTCTTTAGAGCTTCTCACTGGATATCGGTGATGATGCTGGCTTGTCAACCCGGTATTCAATTTAAAAATGAAACCAACATACAATTAAATGATTGTAACCTTAATGAGCACATTAAACAAACATCATACTTTATACAGCAAGACTTTTACAAAGTTAATGTGTTCATTTCATTTTTGCATTAGAATATGTTTATCCATGAGTTAAATACGACATCGTTTGGTTTTAATTCATCGACCAAATATCCTAAGAATATTTCCAGTTGGGAAGATTACATAGAACGTCTACTGACAACTCAATCAATAAGGCAATTACTGTTACACCTACTGCAGAAATGGTCAGTTGAATTTGAATGTGATATAATTACTGCAGAAGAAGCAATGTTAGCATCATCTTCAGCTAAACGAAGGGGTTTATCTTCACAGTCATCCAATGATAGCAATGATGAATATCAAGAGCTAAGTGGAACAGATAAAATTAATTTTTCATCTTTAAGACGAAAAGCTATGGTGCAACTTTCCAAAGGTAAATCTTTGATTTCATATATGTTCTAGTTAACTTTCTACATATCTATGTACACACAAAAAATACTTTGAAAAATGGATCCTTTATAAGAACTATCAAGAAGACTAATGAGATTGCCCAAGATAGTTATGGCGTAAGTAAGTTGGTAGATTGCCAGGATCGTAACCAGGAGGTTACAGGTTCAAACCCTGCCGTGACCTAGGTTTCCACTTTACCTTCAACCATCGTCCACTATAAGCTATTTAGGAAATAAAATTTCAAGTACACTATTAAATGCAGAGTTTAATATATACTGATACTTTTCTCAGGAAATCTGAGCTCATTCGTGTTGTAGGCAATAAGCCATATCTACCTTAAGAAACCTGATGATACTGCCTGCCTGCCCACTCCTCAGTAGGTTTAAACGGGTTCGATTCCGAGATACGCTGATTATCCTGATTAAGGTTGTGGATTATCATTTCACTTGCTTCATACCAGGCAAGCAAGCGATTCAACCAGAAGAATTCACTGCTGAAATACTTGAAATGTTTAATTTTGGCACTGTGGTACGCTTATGCTGATATTGCACAGAAATAACTCTACTGTGTCATCCTAATAGAATTCTGAGAATATTTGCAGTTAAGACCACATTATTTAAATCTGACTGGAATGTCTCAAAGAGAGGCATCATGGAACAGAAGTACTGATGCCGGTTTTATACAATTCACAATCGATCTGGAAATCATAGAGGTGTTTTTCTTGAAGACTGAAATCAATTGACATCAGTTTCTAAAGACATAACAACTACATTTTGATCTCGTTTTTATCACTTTTTTTTGTTTATTCAGGCCAAAAGCAGACCGTGAAGTCGTAATCATTCTTTCAGCTATAAGTGAACTGCCCTAAGTATTGTTATTCTTTTCTGCGAGTACGGAAAGGAGTTCATTGTAGCGTTTTGAAAATTCCGTCACTTCATGAAACAAAAGAGATATGATAAACCTCTGATTGTTTTCAGGAAAGTAATCTCATGAAAAGACACGATGAGTAAAAGACTTTCTAGTTTAACAAATATACATATGATCTATTTTCTCAAGGAATAAAAATACACATCTTCGATGCGTACCGAAACGCTTATTGTGCCACGAAATGCGTCATAGTAGTCGCAGTAGTACTGTGAACCTCAAAAATTTTTATTAACACCGAATCATATCAGTCTATTGTTGATACATGTGAATGTGAAGCTTAAATGTAATGTTCAATCATTTAAACGTTTTTTACATCATGTTGTAATAAGTATCACTATATTTTGTCAATGTTGCATATTAATTTGTCCTCTTATCACAGAGGACGTTTTCTTCAAGATTATAATTTCATTCTAGGTGAGTAAAATACATCAGCAGTACTAAGAACTATTAAGATGGCCTAACGTACTGTAAATTGTTGTTACTTAATCATCGCAGTAAAGTTATATGTGGTCGGCTAAACAGTGTTCACTTTAGTTCTCTTGCTTTTATTGCTGATTAATTGTTATGGCAGCAAAATACAGCGACCAACCCGATTAGTTTTACACTGTAGTGTAGCGAGATTATCATTTGAAACCTGAAAGTCAAAAAAGACCTCTCACTGAAGCACCTTGCTTGCTGGTTATCATCATCAAGGTTTGTGAATCATTTTTAGTAAACTGACACCACTATTAAGATCCCAGTTTGTGTCATTTGGGGCAGCTATAAACCGTAACGCACAGGCAATTTGTAGATTTTGACATCTACTGAGAAGCAGTTTTAAGTTGGTGGCTATCCAACCATGGATTTGGCTAAATGTTTCAATAAAACAGGAAGTTGTTCAGAATCTAAAAAAGTCAACCCTAGAGTTACTAGTCGTGAAATTGCATGATTGAAGTTTCCATGTGTGCAGAAAGACGAAACTAAGGAGATATGCAGGCAGGTGGTAATGAAAAGCAGCAGCTAGTCTCCATTAATCTTGAGAGTTTGAATAATTTGGTAACTTGGGATTGCGGTCAATTCATAGTTGTTGATTGTAACCTTTGTGACGAATTTTAATCTCTCAATGTGTTATAGTGAGTTCGACTGCCCGTGCCAAGTGGAGAAAATGAAAATTATTATTCGAAATTTCTGTAGTTTTATTTGCAGAAAAATGTAATGTTTTAAATCAGTCATACCAGTGGAGGATACCTAACAGAACTCAGTTGAACAAAAAGGAGAAAGCTTACTGACCACTCATAGAATAACTGATGATCAGTTAGACTGATCATATGTGGTATGGTTTCGAGTTGAAGTGAGGATGGAAAGTGGACAACAACAATTTATTATAGTGGAGGACTAAACAAAGTGTGTAGCGGCTACATGCTTTAAAATAGGAAAGTTCACTAAAAGCAAATGGTAGACAGTTTATCTTTAATGTCATCTGGACCAATGTACGAGTTCGACATAGCTACTCATTGGTAGTAGTAAATGTTTGGAAAACAATCGAGGTTTTAAGTGCAACTGATGGTAAGAACTTAACAATTCAATAAGCACCACACTGGAATTATCGAATAGCTTCAGGATGGTGAGTTCGCCATTAAAACCACAACAACAGAAGGTGAAACTGTTCATAACATAACTCAAGCTCTTTTGAATTATTAACAAACATCTAAGGATTTATTCTGAAATCCTTATTTGTAGACATACACACTTATTTATACTTGCCTGTGTGTTTAAAAGTTTCTCATTACATACAATAAAGGGTATTAAAATGAAGGTTAACATTTTTTTCCTTAGATTTTTTATTTGTTTACCAAATTATCTGATAACATTTCATTTACCCAAGTTATGCCAGGAGATAAATTCTCTCTATTTTTTAACCTTATGTTGAGAATAAGGTTTACTTTAATCGATAATTATGCGCCGGAGTTCCCATTGGAATGGTCATAAATATTCTCAATTCAGGAAAGAGATGTTTCGGTGGAGGCGAATTTCCTATTAGAACTAGCTGTGGTTGCAGTTTCAACGACTTTCTAGTCTTAGCGTATAGTGTAATTTCAGAGGTATCATTTTAAACTTTCAGGATCAAATTCCGTAGATGCGATGAATAAACTTACTAAACATGGATGGGGAAATCTGTTTTTGTCCTCCATTTTAAAACAGAACTCTTCATCATTATAGCTGGTGACTTCAGTTTACTTTACTTGTAGATCATTTTCTTTCTGCTGCTGGTAAGCTTCATGATATGGCAAACGAGTAAGCTGTACTATATCCATATACCAAGTACTGATAGCTATCACGATCATTAGGACTGATTTGCAGAGATCGTGAGGCATTTTACTCACGATTCATTTTAACTTTTTATGTTTTCTCTTAGGGTTGTTCATTCAAAATTCAATTTGTATAATGTGTATCGTTTAATTTACTTTTTGCATAAAAACAAAATACATTCATAACTAAGCTTCTACTTTTCCTGTAAAATTATGCAGGTGTAAATAAGTGTAAAGTATAACAGATGTTTGTTGGGATATACTTTATTCGCTTACACTTTTGATTCCGTATTCTCCAAATAGCATATTAACATGGAATTCAAGGGAATGAAAACTCAGAAATAATTCTGTTGTTCAGTCTGGATAAAATTAAGTACTACTAACAATTTATTAAGTAATATATACAATATCGGTACTTTTCAACTGTCGAAATGTTTTTAGAAAATATTTGTAAATTTTGAGGGGGTTGTGGAGATTTGGAAATATTTCAAGTTGTTATTCATCGAAGACTGACATCAGTTGGAGGAACAAAGGAAACCTGGGAGAACTGGACAGCTGTTTCGTCCTGTTTCCTCCAACTGATGTCAGTCTTCGATGAATAACAACTTGAAATATTTCCAAATCTCCACAACCCCCTCAAAATTTAATTGAACTAGTGCTCGTTGGTGACTAGCTTCGAGAAGTATTCCCGAAGTTCCAATGACAAGTCGTGACCGGTGGAGTCAAAGCCTGATGGCCGTGAGGACAAATACTCAACGATGACATTGGGTGGCGGTTTGCGCTATATCGTGAGCTAACAGAAGTTGGAAACATGGAGCATTGGATTCTGACCCAGTGGCTCAATGGTAACGCGCTGGTCGCGGAACCTGAAGGTCGCGGGTTCGATCCCTGCTGGTGGGGTCGTGGGTGCGCACTGCTGAGAAGTCCCATACTAGGACGAAATAGCTGTCCAGTGCTCCCAGGTTTCCTTTGTTCCTCCAACTGATGTCAGTCTTCGATGAATAACAACTTGAAATATTTGTAAAGTCACATTCTAATCCTTTTTATGCCGTTTCTTTGCATGGAGGTCATTCAAAAAAATACTTCCAGTGGTCGAGATCCATCTGGATGAAAAAACAACTGCTACATCTGGTTTCGCAAGGAAAAATTGCAATAGTTGGAAACGTACGGTGTATGAGGCTAAGGGAATAGGATCTATGTGGTAAATAGGCTTCTTATTCTTTGCAAACACTAACGTCTAGGCAAATGACAGGCGAATTTCTGTTTAATTCATATCGCACTAAGCCGAGGGTTAACCACTTTTTACCAACACGCGTATATATAATGACAGACAGGAGAGTGGTTGATTCTTGACTAGTTTCTTACTTCGGATTTTCTCTAAAAAATATTTCTTTACTTTTGTTAGGTATTTATTATGTATTGAACATCCAACAATGAAAATTTTACACTATTATATTCTATCACTTACCTTAGTAAACACGTTGTTAACTTGCTCGAGAGGCCTCAATAAACCATGTGGTCAGAGAGAATGACAGATACATCGACTACAACTCAAGGACTAACAGCGGTCTACAGTAGATTAGTCTCACTTCAGACAGCCTATTGTTGACGTCCCTGACTTTAGCATTGATTGATGCAGGTTTAAGTCTTTTAGGGAAAATGAGTTGCAAAAGTGCATTTTAGTGAGTGTTAACAAGTTAGATTACCTGACCGTGACGGCTACAGCATAGAATTTTTGTTCATGTCACAAGAATAAATCACTTCCTTACAATAATTTAGAATACACAGCTCACACTTAATTATAGATTAAATCCTGTTAACATTAACTGATTTTTACCTATTTAGAAATACTTTTTTAACATTATAAAAATATCTAAATGAAACTGGTTTCTGAATAGGATAATTGCACAAAGGATGAATATGTCACTAGCATAACATGAATTTATTTACTTCCAGTGTACTGAAGCATTCATTCCTAAGAATCTATATAGGGCATCTTTAAAGGAAGAAAGCCTATATTTTTTTCACCAACTTCTATAGGTAATCCACTGGCAAGTGAAGTAAGTCAAAGACAGAACTCTGAGTTGAAGACTGTGATTCTTACAATACGACTTTGAATTTTGTATATTTCAGCTTATTTGCTCACGAACAAAATGCACTAATACTAAATAAGGGATTAAAAAACAGTTAATTCTGATTTTATCTTTTTAGACTGGACCATAGGTTGGGTTGGAATGGTGTTCCATGTGATACTGGTGGCGTTTCGATTTACATGGTGTAAAAATGACACATACAATAAGCAGGATGAAAGATGTGGTTTTAAATTTGAAGATGTTCTGTATATTCTACATCATATTAACTTATCAGAATCCTGGGTTCCTCAATGTATATTACCATCAACAATAATGGCCTTACAGTCACCGTTATTAGGCTTTTATTGTTTGCGTCTTTTTCATCGTGTTGGTGCTTTTTCTCCAAGGATAGGTGGTGCAATTTTAAATATAACCAATCTTCATGGTTATTTAACGTTTAGTCATGAAATGGTATATTCAGTTGTGCGACAGATGCTTGCACGTAGGTTGTTGTTGAACATTTAGTTGAATTGTTGTTTCGAGTTATTTTTTAAACATTTTCTCGATACCCAGTGTTATAATAAATTCACTAGAGCTTTGATCGTATTTGATATTAGATAAAACTAATTAGTTCACTTAATACGGTCATTAGTATCGATAAGTCAGCCAAGACAAAGTATTCAGGCGATATCCATGACACTGACAGCAAGTATTTACAAGGATCACATAAACATTATGTAAATCTTGTGAGCGTGATCTGTAAAAATGGATGATCTTCCTACATATCTAAGGTTTACGTTATAATGGGATGAAAATAATTTGTTTTTGTTGCTTTTTCGATGGCTCTGATGAGAAAAAAGGTTTTATTTATCTGCAGCTTAAGTTAGTCATATATTTGAGAATAGTTTAAAAGATAGCATTTAAGCAGAGATTGTGATTTTATAAATTTCAGGATCAAAATTTGACTTGATGGAGTTGGGTGACTTGAGCATTTGGTAGATGGATTATAAATGAAATGTACTGAGTGATTCCAAACGAACAACAATCTAAATAACCAATTAAACTTCATTATTTTATGAAAAATCTGCTTTTCTAACAGAATCGAAGAAACCTGATTGGCTCCTGCTTCTGTTGCTAGAGTTAGTCAACATATTGGTAGAATGCCAGTGAGGTGGAAAAAAGTAAATTTGTGGTGTTTCGCGACCTTGTTAAACCTACTTCTTCAGAGAATAAAACCTGTACATGCTAAGGTATACTGAAATAATAAATGGCGACAAATCAGATCGCGTTGCTCATACATGATAATGATATGGAAAAGAATTCTGTTGTTATCATTCATTAGTCTATGAAGTCAAAGTGATGTGAATGTGTGTGTGATATGCGATTATGTGTTGCAGACCTTTTCATATCTCACATTAGATCCATGACCTTTACTAACTCCATCACACCACTTATTTGGTTCAGACACGTAGATGATATATTTGTCAGTTTAAAGAGACCAATCTTCCGAATGTTGTCTAAATTCATGTAACCTCATTCTCTGCATATTAAATTCACAACAACATTTATCCCTAATTCATAACCATGTATGAGCAACGCGATTGGATTTGTCACCACTTATTATTTCAGTATACCATAGCATGTACAGGTTTTAATCTTCGAAGCAGCTGGTTCTCTGAGGTCACGAGACATCAGAAATCTTCTTACCTCACTGGCATTTGACACACATTTGATTTGTAAAAACTATGACTGTTTCAAAATGACTTGTGTCGATAAAACCCTTATCACCTGGAGTTAATAATGTCATTTCCCTTTAAAAATACTTCAGATAATAACGACCAATCTTGTCTAGGTATGCTGTGTCCATTTGAAGAACGTTTCTTCTTAATATTAAATAGTGGTGACTAATGTATGCCAGAACTTCTACAACTCAAACAGCAAATATCTGCCATCCTACTAAAGACTATTTCAAACTAGGCTTTCCGTAATAGGATGCGTAGTATTCATCACTCAGAAAAGAATAATAGTACAAGAAGTGGCTATCGTGTCTCATTGGCCTAATGGACAGCGTTTCGGAGTTCGAAGTGATGGGCACGAGGTTAGAGTCTCTGTAGGAACAACATCACTTATTGGGGTGCAGGTACATACAGTTGAGGGATTGCTAAATTGAACAAAGTACGCCTTCTGGATTCCTCTACTAGCCACAACTAAGTAAAGTATCAGTACTAATACACTTAGATTTTAGGTGTATCAATGTTATTACAACAATATATTGATTTTCTCACTTTGTTCATTTCAGGTGATAATAGTGCCACAGGAGTTCAACTCCCTTTAGCCACAACAGCGTTTAGATGGTGTAAAGAAACTGAACAGGGTGATACATTATTAAGAATTTTAACGAAACTTCGTTCTGAAAGTTTATCGAAAATACCCAATCAATCTGTTTCTTCTCATTCTCTTTCTCTTATTGAAGATAATCTTTATAAATCAAAGCCGAAAATTACTTTCAAAAAGATCGGTCATAAAATACAAGCTATCCTTTCATTGACAGAGTCTTCAACTACTGCCTTATACAATGATCAATCTGCAGGTGATAAAAAAGACACCGATTCTACTGACACTGAAGATTTCTTGTTAATCCCGACCATACGAAAACGCATACCCTCATTATTACCAACTGTTCAGTTGATACCTGATATTTATCGAACCGTTTTGAGATCTAGTGATCTATTATCACCAAGTGTTGACTCATCCATTCAACTTTCAATGGATGATCGTGCAAATACACGTCACATTATACTACTCACTGAAATTATGAATTATCTTGTTAAAAGATCTAATCATTGTTTAACGCATACATTTATATCACGTTTAATTTTAACACAAGTTGAATTGATCTGTAAAGTTGACAATCTTAATTCAGTAAAAGCGATTCTTAATAATTTGGAATTTATTCTAATGCATCCTTGGTAAGTATATGCTCTTGCTTATAAAGGGGAGTAAAACCCAAATGGAAATGCTCTCACAACTGAGTGAACTTGGATTTAAACGAATATGCTAATGATAATGTGATAAAGGCAAATAAAGTTTGCAGGAGCTCGATAATTCTCTATTATACTGTCTCTACTAACATTTTGGTTACTGACCTGTCACTCCCTCAACTAAGATACAAGATACTACTGGTAACTAGGCTTCGAACTGTTTTCACTAACCTGTGTGTCTGTTAATGACTAATTAGTTTGAATAACTAGTATATGTCTAACAGTAGCTACGGAGGCAAATTTTATTTCCTTTAATGGTTCAGCGACCACTTGTAAATATTTGATGTAAGTTCAAAACTCATTCACAGAAATTATCGTGAGTAGCTTGACTTGGTTTACTAAATCCCTTCCAACGAATGTGAGGTCAAATATATAGGGTCATTTAGGCTTTCTGAGCACCAAACACAAGCTAGGTCAAAACTGGTAGGTCCTAGTTAGATGAGAAATTTAGAAAAAAACTCCACCATAGCTATGCATACAATTACACACAACTATACAATAGGATGAGACAGGATGAAAATCCTTAAACTAAACATAGGAGGGTGGACGAAGAGATTGATAACTGAATCTTTGTTGATCCAATCAACACTTAATACATGCACTAGGAACAACTCAGCAAGCGTTCCGGATATATGGAAAATTCTACTGTCCATATTACAAAGGATACCAGATTAGAAGTATATAAACTATGACTCAAATTCATGTATTTATCTTGATATGACCATGGACAATAAATTCTGTCCGAAAAGTAATCCAGTAGACAATACCGTTCGACTGTGTGATACTTCTAATAAATCAACGAAAACGGAATTATACTCTTTCGCATTATTCATATCGATTTCAAGTTTATCGAAATTCAGTTCAACACTGATCCAAAACTGAAATAAAATGTTGCTTGTTTTCAAGACCTGTTGGCGTAGTTCACTTTGAGTTGTACATTCACACAGTAATATGATTAACTTTTTTAAACCTTATATCCCAAAGTACTGGTGATAACACTAGAAGAAATATGTAAACATTGTAGGATACTTCAAAAGCTGTCAAAAAAGTTTCTTTGTATGATTTATTATTTATAGATCTACATAATACATATGATAGATTGAATGCTGAAACCATACAGTGGTAAACAAAGTACGTGTGAAACAATTTATTTGTGATTACATCTAGGCCTGTTTGTAAATGTTAGTTTAGTTGGAAAATTCATATGAAGTAGTTATTATGTGAAGTGTTAGTGAATTTCATCAATTATCCAGATGTAGTTAAGAATAATACTTATGTGATTTTGTCCATATTATTTACGCTATCTGTTTTGTCAATATTTTTATGGTGAGATCATAAGTAAAAATTTGACACATCATCCAGACTGTGAGGCTCTTACAGCTGTGAGTGTAAAGTGTGGGTGACAATATAAATAATTGTTATTCGATGTTCTTCAGATCCGATAGTAGAATAGGGAATAGTTATCATGATTGTTTAACGTTACCCTCTGGTTAGTTACTGACAGTTCTTGTGTTAGTTTTAACCACTGATTATATAAACCTAACGAAGTTGCATTGATATATTCAGTAACTGAATACTAGCCATCTATTAGTTTTGTTTAATTCTCCGAGTAAATATTTATTGTTCCCCAAGCTACTGCGATCATATTATCTTGTTATCTTATTCGTGCTGGTGATGATTAAAGACGTGATGAAAATGTGAGCCATGGTGGGGTTCGAACCAGGGACACCGGATATCTAGCCTGTTATTCTACAACTGAGAAAGTACTAGTTGAATCATTCAGCTAAATATTCCAGTTTCTCTTGTTGCCAGTTTTCAATTGGTTTCATAAGTTGACCAGAACTGTGGTCATTTTTATCTGTATGATAGCTGTGTATGAAAAAGCGAGACAGTCGCTTAACGGTAATGATATCTTAACTTAGCTGACTTGAAATTCTGATGCATTCATTCAGTAGTAATCATTGTGTGGCTTTTCTTGTTACATTGTTGCGTCAGTAATGGCATCTAACTGGTCATACCTTGTAGTGCAGACCTTTTTAAAATGGAACGAAACGGTATAGATGTGTTTAAATTATTGTGTATGCGTTTAGTCTGACAATGATCGTCTCAGATTTTGCACTCGCTGGTTAACATCAAACCTACATTGAGTAGTCTATCTTATATTTTATTTACAGTTGGCAGTGTAGCATATAAAAGTGCTCACTTTTATCATTCGGTACACTCATGCTTAGATAACTTGCCAACGAAAGAGCATAGCACTACTAATACTGAGGTTATCCGACGTTTTCGATATAAACTGATATAAGATAGTAGAATATACAACTATATGCTTTTTCCTTATCTTGAACCTATCAACTTCATTGAACTACATATCCCTGAATGTTGTAATTCTGACGAAAACTTATTTCCAGTGGCTATGGTGTTCTACTACAAGGTGTTAATTTCAGTCAGCCAGTCAGAATCAACATGGGACCTGGTTTTACTGTTGATAGTCCAAGTTACCACACCTCGTATGAACCCGTCAGGTGAGGAGGCACTGAGGTGAAGGACAGAGAAATAGGGAGAAAAGCAATCACAAGTGGTGGAAAGAGTAAAAGTGGGAGTGGGATAATCATCAAATTTGGCATAAGAACAAAGCTGGTGATAATGTGGGGATAAATGTGAGTCACTAAGATCCAAGTTACATCACATAGAATCTCCAACCACCAAATTCAGATGTAAGACGGACTCAGACTATAAAGTTTATATTCCCTTACAAGGCTTCAACTAACCATCGAATACTTCAGGAACTAGCTCCATGTTTAAGTTTGGCCACCTCAAAATTTTACATGCTAAACCTATTTTAAACCTATTTTTTAGTTTGACGGTGTGAACAGTTACTAGGTTTAAGTAACAAATTTTCAAGCCATCTAACTCAATGATCGTTCACAACCTCATGAACTGACTAACCTCTTTTACCTGAAACTCTGAGTCTTACTTCTACGTTCCCGACGAAGTTGCACCACGGCAACCACAGCCTATACTGAGAAGGCGACGACGGTGGAACAATTGCAGCCTTCCTATGTCTTTTACGCAGCCATATGGTACGACAAGGTAACGTACAGAGCAGTAAATTAGACCCTTAACGGGCATTTAGATATCATGGTGGTGCCGTAAGCGGAGTGAGCTTGCAAAGGCCAAACGAATCATTTTATTCTCATAGAGCTCACAAAATATTATGCATGCATTTCTTAAAACAACATACTTTTAACATTAATTCCAAGAAAACTGTTATTGTTTTTTCCTTTCAGTCTCCTTTTATGCTTTGCTTTTCCGACATATTATAATGAAATATTTACTGGTTTTATACCAAATGCTCACTTATTCATTGGATTTTGGCAGTTTATTCAACATTCATTCATGCTTATCGATAAATACCAGGAAAAAAAAGGCGGCTCGTCATCAGAAAGTCATATGACATCAGTGACATCAGCAGAAACACAAGATTTGAACTCATCATTTGGAAGAGTAAACACTCCAACTAACATCAGTAACAGCAATAGTAACCAGGAAAATACAAATAAATTGGTTGATTTTGCTCAAAGTGCTTTGTACTACTTAGAGTGCAAAAGTATTTGTCAACAAACTAACGTAAGTTAGCTATACGTGTGTTGAGGTAACTATTACTATTATTTAACTTTGTGTATAAGGGACCAGTGATAAAGCATAATTTATGACTTGTTTTAGACACAATTAACTGTTCACAATCCCATCAAACTATGCTATCACTTGAGAAGAGATAGTATGACTAGAATGAATACCAACTGCTAATATTGCATTATGGTATACTCACTCTCCTTATAAGCACAGTAACGCTAACGACTATCTAATGGTAGTAACTACTTCGATGCTGTTAGGATCAATGGGGACAATTAGTAGACAGTGTTGCATGATTTGAGTACTTTTACTTGCTGACAATAATCATACAGTCTCGGTAGGATCCGTAATAAGTTTGTGAACCAAGTAGACATCTTTTGTCTGTATGTTCTTCAACGCTACCAATAGTCACGGACAGATTTACTTTGGTCATTTGCAGAATTGAGTTACATACAAGAACAGACTATTGAGCAGTGTGAGTTTTCAAACAGATTACATTGCAAAAGTAATATAAACCATTATACCTATACTTGTAAATATTTCCTGAATACTTCTCAGTTACTTGGTAGCAAGCAAGACCCAGTAAAATATGGGCACATCTAGAATCTATACTGTATTAGTTTATCCGTGATTTCTGAGTGACAATAAACACTGAAGCTAGATAATTACTTCTGACCAACATTATAAACAAGTAGATATGGCGTGTATTTTTCACTCGACTGCAGTAATGTGGTAATGAGATAATAAATTTTGAAGGTAGTTTTCGTCACGAACAGACATAAATTGGAGAGGCGTTGAAATCCTGGGATTAATAGATAGTTGTCTTCCTCTAGTTTGCAGCTCCCTAATGCTGCCCAACCACAACCCTGTTGACGATCGTTTGGTAATGACGAAACAACTGTTCAGTTCTCGCCGGTTCTCATTGTTCCTTGATGAATCCCAACGAATCACTACCTTAATAACTATTTACTTCATAAAATGTGTGGATAATTATGCGTACTCCATTTTGTAATTATCTTCTTAAACAGAGAGCATTTCAAATTCTTTCCTGTTGATCGGAAGTCTTATCACATGAAAGTGAATCTACTTTAACGGTAATCAAAATTGTTTCGCTCCCAAAAATGAGTAATAATAAGGATGATCAGTTGAATGAAACATTTTAATGGCCTAGTATCAATGATAACTAACCAGTAGGGGTTTGCATGCTTAAATTATTAAGTCATTGTTTTAATAAAGGTAGAAGGTGAGGAAGTACTTGTGCAGAGAGAAAATTATTTCATACAGGAACATAAAAATAAACTTACTGGTAGAGAAACTTTAAAAATGTGGAACAGATACCCATTTAACCCACATAAGGCTCCTGTACGAATGATTGGTCCCTGTATTTGTTGAAAAGATCCTAAGTACTTAATCTACTAAGAAAATAATCCGACAATTTTTCACAGATAGCTCAGCTTTCACCATATCAGTTCTGTGAACATTACGTTGTTGGCAGAGAGATATCAGAAACGTCAGATACGATAGGTTCAATTTACTAATACTTTACATCATTATCGAAAAGTAGTCGAGAAAAAACGAAGAGGATTTCCTTACAAGAAACGAGATAAGTAATAAAATATATTGTATAATATGGTATTCCACACTTAAATAAGCAGAACAGATGTACTGCATTTTTCACAGAATAGAACATCTCAGTGAATACTGAATGTCAGTTATAAGAATCAGGAAGCATTATATCATTATCTAAAAAACCCTAGTAGCGATATCGTAGTTATATGAAACTATCTCTGTGACTTAGATAAAACGTTTGCTTTCGTTTATTAAGTCTATGGGTATCACAGTGCTAGTAAAGTCATTGAAATACATGGTATGTTGAAGGTGACACTTTTGCAACTTACGCATTTTCTGCACCTTAGAGTTGAATACTGAAACTCCAAAAACCTCACTAGTCAGTAAGAAGTAGTACATACTGCTACTAAAACTTTCAGCCTAAGCAATACTCCTGAATTGCCATTTCAGTTTCACTCCCTTTTTCCACTGGATGACGAGAATTCATACAGTATAGCGTCTATCACTTTCAGTATTACAGTCTGTCAATAGGATAATGATATATTGCCTCAAATTTTCTGACGTTTTGAAAAGTGTTATTCATGCAATAAGATTAAAACAAATTCAACTTTTGTACATAGTGTGAAATAAACTTTATAACACTCAGCACCTTTTCCACTGTTTTTGTCTTCACTTCTTGTATTCTGAACATTTTGTAGAGTGAAACATCAAATGTGCACAATAACTTGGCTGAACTTAATGGTTAGTTTTAAAGTAGTATCGTGATTAATTATTCATTACATTACTAACAGTATATTTGTAAATTATAGTCATGAAACTATGTTTAACAGTTTAGAAAGGTTCTTGTTTTATTTAGAAGCTCATACTTACCTTAAGTCATCTAGTTGACTTGAAGTATGCAGTCAATATTGTCCCGCTACGTGAAGCTGCTGAAAAAGGCACGGTTTTCCAGACGTGGAAGCGGAAATCTGAGAATGTTTGGCACGCCTTTCTCTCTCACCTGTCAAATGTAAGAGGACTCTGGAGGATTAGTCTGCTGAAAGTACTCGCAGCTCAGTAATAGGGAGTGAAGCGGTGGAATATGCCGATCACTTCATTTACTTGGTGAGTTGCATCAGCCTAAAAGGACTGGCTGCTGACTAAATCTCAACTAGGATATATAAGGCTCGTTTGGCATTTTCTAGCTAGCGTTATCTGCGGCGCCGTTTAACTAGCTATCCGACCACTTATCAAAGAACGACCATACCTTGTCGCGGTTCATCCTGGGCTGTTACAGGACCGTTAGACATAGTCGTTAAAAGTAAAAGATATGAAGCGGTCACAAGTTTTCGATCATGTGTCTTCACAGCACTACTCATCTTTTGTGGAATCATCGTGTGAGCAATATTAAAGTCAGGTGAAGGGTACCAAGCAAGATAGGTAAACTGGTTAGTAAAGTTGTGAACTTTAATCGACTGAAATAGTTGGAACATATACTGTGCATGCTAAGCCACCACCTATATCGACATATCATGCTAGGTAGTAGAATTTGGATTAGGTTAAAAGAGGGTTGAAAATGCCCAGACTAAATCTTTGACCGTTGGTCTAAGTCATGTGGGGAGATGTAGACTGTCTGGCTGGGGTTCCATAAACAATGGGAATCAGTGGTTGAGGAAATTTGGTGACGTGGCTGAAAACCAATCACAATGGCACAGACGTTTCCACCTCTTGAAATCTTTTTAAGCTTGAATAATTGTACTAGCCTTTATCTTCAGAATGTATATTCTCTCACACAAGCTTATTTATCTTGATATCACTCTCTTTCTTTTCACTTGTTCTCTGTATAGTGCTGTGAATTGTGACAACTTGAATAGATACATTTATTCGCGACGTTCTACGTTGATTTTATTTGTCTGTCTTCACCTCGGCTATATTCATTTTTTACGGTTTAATTCAGTGATCTGTCCTTTAATAAATTCGTTTACTCCGGGGAAAATATGAATCTCAGGACAGAAGTTAATTACTAAATAACATCAGGCTACAATGTTAACTGTACACATATGGAGAAGATTTGAGATTAGACTGGTGAAATCAAGCCATGACATCAATCTGGGCTCTACGGGATAGATGACACGCTTTATCACTGTCAGTAATTTGAACATTTTAAAGTACTTCACTTGCCTTTTTTCACCACTTACAATAAAACTTATGTTTGACTTGATGCCATACATCTGGTATTCACTTCCTTTTTGTTTGCTGTTGTGAAGTGTACCAACTGGAACTCATGCTGCATCGTATAAGGGTTGTCCGTTGATTTATATATTTGCATGAAGAGAGTAGTGCATTCGAATTATCAGATCTTTGAAATGCAGATTATCTAATTAAGCTTTTGTTTCAGTATAGTATTTTTGTGCTCTCGTGTAGTGTTTCTTCAGCTTTGTATCTTTCAAGTTTCATCAATTTCCATCTGGTGCCCTGAGATGTTGCGGATTGAACTGTCTCCCTTTTCTACGTCGGTTAAAAATGGTTCATACTGTACCCGAGTATATATTTTAAAAAGAGAGATAATGAATATTTTGTAGAAAGCAGCTTGGAATTTTATAAACCACCAGGATTAAAAGCAAATTTTTCTGAGTGAGAGAAAAGAATGTGCGTTGCTTACAAATTATAAACTGTAGGCTATATATACTGATTTCTGTTTATTTATTTATAATTATATCAAAAACAAGTTTGTTGCATTCATCACTGTCAATTTAATATACTTCAATAACATTCTTAGCTACAGCCGTTCATCCAACTCCTCGCTTCTTCGTAAAATCTGAACAAAAACGATTGTTTGATTCTTTGACAGATAACCAAATGCCCAAGTAATGCTTAAAATTTGAAGCAAGAGATTTGTCTGAAATACAGAAATGTATTAGTGCATAACAATAAACTAGTAAATTACAAACCTTAAATCTTAAGGTATCTTTGGGCTAATCACCCTTTAAACCACTTTGCAAGAAGTGTATCAATCAAATAAGCAGCAGAGTTGTATGCAGAGCCGGTCATAGCCAAAAATGTTCAAAGCACTTAAATTCACAGAGCAAGGTAAACGTTTCAAGATAAACAGGTGTTCAAAGAAAGACATAACATTAGGGGAACAAATTGGAAGGGCACAATGCAAACAAAAGAGAAAGATACCGATATCGCAGCATGTTAAAATCCCCGACAAAATGCGGTTTTAAAGACGGCTAAAGTTGCGAATGAAATAACATTGCGAAGGATAACCAATCATGCTCATTGTTAACAGTGAGTAGTGTAAAGGTGTAAGCACAAATGAACGCAAAAGTAACATCAAAGAAGAAATTTAAGCGAATTATGAAGCAAATGAACAATCTCACAGTGAACTTTACTAGATGTAAATCTGGTTATGAATTGATCAAGTGGTAATAGCGTAATAGCATCATTACAGCAGATCGATACTGAAGCGTTTTTATACAAATTTGTTAGAAATAAGAGACATATGCCTAGAACTAAATAAGCATATTTTTGGCTTGTTCTAAAATGGCGGAGCACATAATCATAAACAGCGCAGATTATTTGACTTCTTGGGCAAGAAGCAATAGAATCTGTATGCATGATACCATTGTTATTATGAATGATCCAGGCACTCTGCTCAAATCGCAGAGTAGTTTACCTCTACCGACTTGCTGTTCTTCGTACCTATCTATTTTGATACATCATGTCCCTTGAGTCAGCATATCTAGATATAAATTTAAACGAGTAAAACCAGTATTACACTGAACTTAAAGTAAATGTCTTGAAATTCTGAATCACTTCTGCTTGGTTTCTATAGCACACCACTGCATATCGCTACAATTCTTCATACTTTTCAGGAGCAGAACAAAATGGAAACAATAATGACAGTAAAATACTTTCAAAATCAAAGTGATTGATATGCTTAGGCTGATAATGAGTAAATACTTAAAACTTAGTTTTCTGTACCACCTTACACTGAACTTGTCTGACTCACTAATATGAGTTACTTGATAATTTATTAGCACCAACTTCTAGCTAAGGAGTGATAAAACATTTTCGCTTGAGCGATTCCAGGCCCCAGCTTGTTGAGAAAACGTCCACTGGATGGAATTATTTATTAGCCCAATAAAATAATTTCAAGACGAGATTACACCTCTTGTATTAATAGGTCTTTTCCTATTCCACAACAAGAAGATTGACGGATAACCCATTTAAGTAGAAAGCAGACAACAGAAAAATGTCGGCATATACCGAGTACGAAGATGAATTGAAAATCATTGCAAATCACTATGAAGTACTTTAACGCAGAAAGACAATGCCAAAATGGAAAATAATAATATCAAGTGATCAAGTTGACTAGTGAAAATCAGGACTCAGAACTCAAAGATAACCGGAAATACCACAGTCCCTCTATTAACCGACTTATCAGACTGGTAATCTGCTTTCATCAACAAAACATGTAGGCTGTGTCAAATGAAACAAGTATTAGTTCATCTAATATCCTGTATTAAAGTAGCAAGTAGCTGATAACGTAAAACTTCCATAACAGCATTCTGTTGGTCGAATACAAATTCATAAAGAAACAAAAATAATCCGTAATTTTTCGTGAAACATGGGATAAGGATAAAACTTAAGTACTGTAATGGAATGTGATTCCATTTTACTTAATCTGTCAGATGTTAGCAATATTCCCTCATCGAAAGACTCTAAAGTTAAACAGCTAAATTAGTAAGCTACCATTCACCTATTCCTATATATGATTCAGCCTTAAATATGTCAGTTATAATCTGAGTAACTTACCGGTGAGGTATTCACTTGCAACATAAAGTGCCGCAGCTTAGAATCACCGAGAGAACATCATTTTCCTAATGATTGGGGATACTCATTGCTGAGGAACGCCAGTAAATAGTAAATCTAGGTCACATAGGATTTCCTGATTGTCGATACACATCACTTAACACCACAAGTGTATCCCGTCTCAGCGTTTTTAACACCATTCAGTAATGAGGAAAACTTACTAAGACAGGAAAATAATTATGACCTTTTTAGTGCGTTTTACTAACTCTCTGAAAATAATAACTTTGATTATGATTATGAATAAGTCTGTAGTAAAGTCATAGTTATAGACATATTCAGTTCAGTAGCTGTGACAATAATATATTGATGATTTAACTGATGGGTTATGGAATACTTTTGAAATCATATATCACTTTTTTGAATTTACTGAAAGTATAATTAAGCACTGTGCAAGTGTATTCTAGGTTACTTACGAAACAGGCATAAGAAGTGAATACCCATTCATGAAATAGGCTAATGTTGCATTCCAGTTTACTGACCAATTAGACTTAGGTTAGCTGCTCCCCTTAACTAACTACTGTTTATCTTCATAAAAATGACGTCATATCGGCAGACAGAAGTGAACTTAAAAGTAACGTCTAAAATGACATGAAAAGTTGAATTGATATGAAGCTAAGCTCAGAGAGCAACAAAAATTACCAAAATATCCATAACCTAAAATCCCAGTATTTATTATTTTATTGAAAAATAACTTAAAACTAAATTTGCACTTCTTTTGTTAGCATGATAAACACGCATGAAAATTAGTAACTGGATCCTGATTATCACCTCTGTATAAACTAAGTCTTTTGACTTAGCGAATGTAACACCTAATCGGTAATATCAATTCATTTAGCTGAGATATACCCACGACTAACAACAGATATTCTAATAACTGGTTTATTCATCAGTGTGGTAATCTTTAGTAGTAGCAGTCTGACAGACTGGTATTATTGGTACGGAGTAGTGACTTTTGATGAGATGAAAATCTTGACCATAATAGAACTCGAACCAGTGGCCTCTGGTTTACTGTTCTGATGATTTACTAATACAACTTCGAGGCCCAACAGCTGAACATTTCTTAAGTTCATCTCAGTAATAACAGTCAACCTACCTAAGGCTGTCAGGGAGTTACACTCATGTTCAGTAAGACTCTACCCCTCTCTTACGTAGATCCATTTCGATTCAGACGAAAAGACCTTGCTAAGCAGCCAATATAAATACTATGAACAGACACATGTTGCAGGTTCACATGACAGTTGGCCAAAACCTTGGTAATCAAAGTGAAAGATCTAGTCAGCAGCAGGATACAGTGGCTTAGAGCCTAAGAACCAGTGACCGCTGGTTTAGATTCTACTGTAAACCAAATTTTCATTTCATCTTTATTTATCAATTCGCATCAATGATTTATTCCTTTTCAACAGTTAAACTACTTGTATGGCTACAATGCTTGTGCTATTCACTTCGTATAATTATTTTCTGAACAATGAATAACCCGAAATTATCAACTTTTCATCTTATTCACACACACTTTGTTTTATTTTCCAATTTCATTTGTGTGTATTTTTGCAGAACTATCGGGTGAAAATAAACTAGAATCACTTATTTGGATTATTGCTGAGTTCATTTACTTTTTGGGTAACGAGGTTGAATCTGTAAAAACATTATCAAAATTAGCCGAGAACTTTATACATGTAAGTTATGTGAATTTTTCTACAGGTAGGTATGCAAGTGAGATTTCAAAATGATACGACATACAACTTGAAGTATCGATGATTGATGTAAGAACAGTTTCAGCTACCGAAGTGACGTCTGTTAAACAGCCATTGATAGCCTAATGTAAAAGAACACCTGCTCAATTTCACAATAGGATTCTATAAAGGTGTTTTCCATCATTGAGTCAGAAGCTTATTGAAGATAAGAGTTACAGAAGGCAGTGTTTGCGTATTTTACATAAATAAATTATCATCGCGATATTATGTTTAGGTGATCATAAAGTATATAATTACATCTAGGCAAGTTCCGAATGAGTATTTAATAAAAAATAGTTGTTTATTATATAGCCTACCCAGTTAGTTTTTCATTTACAGTTTATGTGTTCACTTAGCTTTTTTATTAGTGGAGCGTGTAAGATACATAGAGATATCATGAATTGTGGTAAAAGGTGTGGAAGGAATCACAAAGTGGACACTAGTAGATTAGGTGTAAAAACAAAAGGCAAATGAATGCACCAGTCAGTCTGTACATCAACATCCTGTGTTACCTGGAGTAGGAATACATGAAAACAAGTACATAGTGGTAAGGCTAAGGGATAGCTCTAATCTATGAAGTCTCTGATTAACTAATTTAAGACTGATTAGGACCCGTAGGTATTAGAAACCGGTGGTTGTCAACCCATATTGACATGGCTTAGATGTGTTCATTCTTTATACCTATCAAAAAACTTGTTGTCTGGCTAACCTCTACGCGTTTATTCCTACTAATTTATTATTCCTTTCGTTTATTAAAACATCATTTGTATTATTTCCAAGTCTTATTTCTGTTCCTGTTGATAAGTATGAAAAAACGAATTTTTATGCAATACTATGCTAAGTTATGGGATGAGCTCTCTACCCGTCTTTTTAACTAATTCCAGAATAACACAAAATTTATCTGAAAAATACATGGTGGACACTGATAAGACTTGAAACCCGGAATCGACCCCAACGAGTAACTGATAAAAAGTACCGGGTTTGACAAAAATATGTGAAAGGTGTAATAAATTATAAGTGGACACAAAAATTTTTCTTCAAGGTTATGAGCAAACGATGAAGACGTCAATAACAATAATTTCGAGTGCTGACATGTCAAAAGTCAGATAAGAAGTCTTGAATAGACAATCTTCATGCTTTTTCCGACCTACTTTTAATTTCTTTTAACAATGCAATTCTATCTGGTCTTTGAGTGGATTTACAACACATCCTGCCCTCACTTTACTCGATATAGCTGCTAAGCTTCAACAGAATTTTAACCCTATCAACTGAAAATTTCTATGTCAAATATGTATCAACTATTACTTATTCATTCTTTAAAAAGTGATTCTATTTAGACCGAAAACACTTCTTGAAACCACAGTGAGGTGAACGGCAGTCTGTTGAACAGAGTTTAAGTAATTGATTGAAAGCAAAAATGTGCTTGTATCGTCTACTCTAATCCTCTAATAAAATTATTAGAGATGTTAACCAAGTGGTCCTCTGAATAAGTTTAAATGACCTAACAAGAAAATGAAGCTTCTCTTTTACAGGTTATCTGTTGGTATATTGTATTTTAAAGTTTGATCATACATTGACTTGTCAAGACAATTACGTGACCATAAAGTAGCGGTCACTGTACATGCTGAGAAGTGTAAAAACGAAATAAACATTAAAAAGGCAAAGTTTATCGGCAGCAAGCCAAGTATAGAGATTTAACAAGAAATGAAACTATGCCATCCTTCAGCAAATAAGATGGAAGTGTAAGTTTATAACAGGTATCAGTATTTGAACCTAGCAGTTTCATCATGATGATTTGAAGTGGATTCACTATTATGAATTTTGTGACTGTTGGCTTGAGTCATGTAGAGAAGCTTAGGCTGCCAATCAAAGCCCCTCAAGATAGTTAATGTCAGTGAATAGAAACTATCGTTTGTACGGCTTAAATATGGTCACGATAACACGGATATACACACATTGTCATCGTCGAAGTCTTAAGCATTTTCTGTGTTTTTTTCATTCTATTCTTCATCCTTAGATATTTTTCTTTTCTTTTGTGTTACTCGTTTTCTATCCACCTTTACTTTGAATGCCACTGTGTGATGTATTAGCTTGCAATAGTTTACTTTCATGCCAGATTTTACATTGATCTGTCTATTTGCTTGTCTCCCAATCCCATGATAATTTGCAATTGAATTCTTCTATTTCGATGGGAATATTCTCAGTCACATTTACTTAGAAGAATACTGAAATCCAGTGAATCGTGAATTTATCCCGTTTCCTATCGATCTTCATGTTATTATCGCTGCTCACTTTAATTTTTCTTTCTTTTGGTATCCTTCTATAAAGCCTCATAACTTTAAGTGTTACAAATCATAGAAATACTAAGTTTTGTTTCATTTTATTGTGTGCTATAAAGTCAGCATAAAGCAAACTCATAGATTCGAACACATGTGTGAAAGGACGGTGATTTATTGAGATATACTGCAGTCATTCATGAACAAAAACGTTTCATCATAAAGTATGGGTTTAGTTCTGTCAATCATTATACCTGTACCGTAGAATAAGCTATTCGAACTGAATCTTTATGGCAGAAACACCAAAGTGACTTGAACTTGAGCTAACGGTGAGTAGTTACCCTTATTTCTCGAGAATTCAGTAGATACTTACGCAGTGAATAATTAAATTATACACAGTTTTGCATTGACTTCAACAACTGTTTTTGTGTGAATCTTCTTAGGCAGGCATTTCATCAAAACTCATGTTTGGTTGGACGACATAAAAGACAAGAGAATCATTTTCTTAGGTTTCACTACCATCCCCTTTACTAAATTTCTATTATATTCATTAAATTCATTTCTTTCCTGACAGCGTGAAACTCTCAGTAAAGCAGATGTTGTACAGCTGAGTTACTTAGGACTAAGTGTTTCAAAGAAACTTCGTTATCTAAGAAATGGAGTGGACGAGTCTGTAGACGACAAAATGATGTTATGTCGATCATTGGCTTATGAAATTGAATTAAAAGTAACAGATTGGGAAAAAGAATTACAAATGTTGACAGTCTGCAGTGAAGAGGAATGTACAGTAATGAAGCCAAACATTTCAATCGCTTTAGGTAATTTTGAAGATTTTTCAGTCATATATAAGGTACACATAGATTACAAAGAGATGAGAACGTGATAGAGATGATGAAAAATCAAGGAATTAGGTAATATGAATGAGGCAAGTTAATTTAAATAAACTGAAAGTGTTTTACACTAGGTGATAATTGAAGATGAAATGAAAATTCGAACTGCGGCAAGATTCAACCCAGAAACCACAGGGTTTCCTGCCCGGTGCTCCACCAACTTAGCCACGAGATCCAACTCTCCGTCAGATATTTATTTAACTGCAATCACTTCAGTCGACTACCATGTGAATTCATGACTCGTTACTACCGCTTGATCCTATTCATACTGGCCGGCTAGTTAGGACATCTCGTCCCAATCCAAATTTAACTAAATTAAAAGGGGGGAGCATCATATTAATTATCAGTTTAACTATCTGAGACAACCATAGTTCAGTGGACCAGAATTTGTACTGGGTAACGATTGAGAGTGAAATGTCAATTTGAATCGCCATCGGATGTGAACCAACAATCATCGGCTGTCCGACCCAATGCTCTACCAACTGAGCTACACGACATAACTCATGACCAGACTTTCGCTTCACTTCAATCATCTCATTAGTCACCCAGTAATAATACCAGTTTGTCAAACGACAGACGTTTCAGATAATCAATACGACGCTCTCCCTCTCTAATTCGATTGGGATGAGAAGTCCTGACCAGACAGCCAGTGTGAATGGGATCGAGAATTCACATGGTATTTGGCGTGAACCCCTAGTGATTGAAGTGAAGTAAAAAGCTGGTCAGCAGTTGAACCACGTAGCTTAGTTGGTGGAGTTGTGTGTCGGAGACCCGGTGGTTTCTGGTTCGAACCCTGCCGCCATCCAAGTTTTCATTTCATCTCCAATCATCACGAGTCATAAATACCAGTCTGTCAAACTGTGACTATCTCAGATGGTCAAAATGAAAATGTCTTGTTCAAAGTTGCAATCATAAAAAAAATCAAATGAAATGACATTGGAAATTATTGGGTGTGAGAATAAAAATGATGAGGATATAGGAATGCAAAGATTACTTTGACAAAAGAGGAAGTTGAAAGGACTGAAAATGAACGAAGCAGCTATATGAGACCATGTTCCCGCCTAGTTTTATGAGGAAAAAAGGAAATGTATTAAAAGTTCTATCCTTAAACGTCTATTCGATTCTAACCATTCAACCAACCCAAACAATGATTTTAAAGTAGTCTAATGAATTTGATCAAACATCTCACATTTTCTCTCTCTTCAGTTTCTAAAAAAGTGGGAGGATTAGCTATCCATAAACTTATGCTTGACCTTTGTGAGCAAAAGAAGTATATACAGTCTTTGTCTCTATCCTGACCTTAGCTTACTTTGGTCTTGGCGTGCTTCGTTCCGTTTCTGTCTTCTCAACTTCCCCTTTTGTTAGATTGATCTTCGTATTCTTATATCCTCATTATCATTTTTGTTTTTACATTTAAAAATCTCTGGTATTATTTTATTTGATCTTTCTAATAAATCCTTTTAAGAAAACATTTTCAATTTATTTCAGTTGTCTTGATACTACCTAACCCTTTGATTGTATATTAACTCTACCATGTTTTCACTCCTATGTAATCTATATTACACCTTATAAATAATTTAAAAAATTTACGTAACCCCTTTCTGTTACCATTCAACTCTCACATTATCAATTTTAAAGATTTCTTATTCACTGATTGCTGTTTGTTTTTTACTTCGATCACTTTTGCTACCAAACTGTTCAAATTCATCAGGATTTGGTTTAAGACTTAGTGTTTGTTGTCACTTATTTCATCATGGACCAAGCAAGATATTGAGAATTGAAAATTAGAGGAATAGGACATCGTCTAAATACACGATATAGTAGAAGTTAGGTTTAGCCGAGCTTACGTAACCGTTAAGCATCCGATTAGTAACCTAATGATAACTGGTTCAATTCCCCATGAAGTCATGAGTGTCCACTATTGAACAGTCTAGAGATTTAAAGTAGTCACCGTCCAAGCTGTTCATAAATTTTTTTGATTCTGGTTAACATATCATTTCATGTTTATGGATACTTTGAAGTCAATCATTTCCCCACAGCAAAAATGCTTAGAATACTATTTGGTAGACGATTGACTCCAAAAGAGAATTTTCTCAATGTATCTTACTCCAAAGATTTTTGAGCATTCTGAGATGTGAAATCTTCAGTAACTGAAATAACTAAGGATTTCCATAAAAGAAGGCTTGAAAATATTATGCTTTGTGCATGGAAGTCTATCAATTCCGGTAGTCGTCTAAATCATTGTTTGTATTAATGACTGATGGCTGATAAATGTAAGAAGATGTAGAAAATCTAAAGCTATTCAAAAAAATCTTTGATCAAACACAAGTCCCTGCGGTTACATGAGAAACAGATTCCTGAGAAGAATATTTTATAACTGAGAAAATTACGAAACCTAAAAAGTGAACATATTTAATGGTTGGTTGACGCCGCCAGTTATTATATATTCAAGAATACTGCTTATCTTTCATCTCATTCACTATGAGTTCACTAGCTGACTTAAAAAAATTGGTGAAAATATTCTGCAAAATACGGATAAATTGAACTGAGACTGAAGTAAATCAGTAGAAACACCAAACTATGAAATGTAGATTTGATTGAGGTTTTAATGAATAACATTTGAATCCGAGGTTTAAAACAAAAGTACATCTGATGAAAATAAATATCATTACAAACACAGAATAAAAGCGGAAACGGCTCTCAACTGTGATTACTAAGTCGATATTTTTCTGAATGAAAATTACCTTTAGATTATTCGACTGTTCAAAATCATCAGTTCAAATAACATTAGTCATTCATACGTGGACGGTTTCCATCACATGATCTTACTATATAGAATAAGACTAAAGGCTAAATTATAAAATAGAACGACATTATGCAATGATGTCATAAACTATTATGATAACTTAGCGTTTTTAGTAGTCACCAGAATAATTGTTTTAAATAATCTGTTGAGCAAGGTAAATGACTTTCATTTGTGCATCTCTACTTGATTTCCAACAAAAGCTCATGTTGGCTGGACAGTTAACATAGAGCATATAGGGATGCAGAAAATTTGTAACTCATCTGAATAATCACATTCTTTTGTGCATAACTTAGCAAAACGGTACTTAATGTTCATGATTAAGGAAAGATACACCTTACTGACGAGTGTCAAAAAGTACGTAAATTAGGTTTAGGGCTTTCTTCTGATTGACCCCATTCAACTAAAAACCCTACCTTTCAGCTACTTAAACATTGCTTGAATTATTTCATCCATTAGTTCATTTGCCAATTTTTATCTGGGCATCCTAACTGTTCAGAATGTCTTAAAAACTTCAATTTTCAATTTTTTTTCTTCAAAATATGATAAATTTAGGATTGGTTTCTTTGTCAATTAAACATGAATAACTAGAGACGTTTGTAAATATTTGATTGTACTAATGATACAAAACTGTTGTTGTTCACGTTTCAAGTATATTTAGTATAATAAAAACATCTTAAAGAAAATTATAATAAGTATTTGTTTTCTCTTGATATTTCACATAAAATATAGAAATAATCTATATAAGTTGGTAATGCTGATGTAAAACAGTCCAACAAAGCTCACTGCTTGGAGGGATATGTTCTAGAAATTTTTAAGTTTCCCATCACATTCAGTCATTCCTGTATATACTAATTAGCTTATCATTTAGGACAACTTGAAGTAATCTAATACGTAATGGCAATCATCTAATCGTAGATAAACAATTTTTTGATATTCTCCATCAAATAAGTCATCAAGATATATATTTCTGAGCCATAAATATTCTTTAGCCTAGTCTTCATCGTTTAATCATTAGCAAATAGTTACAATGACCAGTGTAGGCAGCAAACGAAGTAGAATAAGCACAATTATTTATTGAAGCAAATCCAGTTGTAAAACAAATGTTTAAAATAATAATCTGATATAACTAAATGTTTACGGACTAGATCCTTGTTTATATTTTCGCTTCAAATTCAATGCAAAAAGTTACACCAAACATGCAAAGTACATACAAATTTATTAAACGTCCTGTTGCATTAGCTTTTGTCAGTTACAAGACAATATGTATTGGTAGTTAACAATAAAGTGTTAAAATACTTAGAAATTACACACAATAAAGCAAATATCTCAAAATCATGAAAACCATGCGAAAAAAACATAACTGTGAAGTTTTGAGGTTCATGGGGATTTGTTGATTTCAGGTTGCTTTTCATCACTGACTGATATTAGTTGGAGAACCACTGAACATGTGTTTCCTGTTAACATGGGACTACTCAACAATGCTCGTCTATAAACATGAGAAGGTTTTGATAGTCTGTTTCTAAGATATTCAAGAAGAGACAGGTTACGATGGATTGACGGCAGTTATATTGAATATCAGCAATGACTGTTAGTTATTCATTTCAGCATTCGTCAACTTCGTGATTCATGCGTTATCACCATCGACCACAAAAATTGCATGAATGATTGTGACTCAGCGACCATAGTGTCTATAACCACAAATAAATGGGCTGGGAAGCACCATTTAAAGAGAAAATTACAAGATACATATTTAAAAAATAAGAAACTGAAGTCATTTGGCGAACATATCCCATGAATCTATGTTCACTCACCTTCCAACGCAAAAACTTTAACTGAGATATTCGGTCAGCTTAGGAGTGTGAATCTCACAGAATTTTGTGTATGCGTTAGTGTGTGTACATACATCTTTCATATTCCTTCAAGGCCTCTTTCAGAGAGTGTAGAGGAGAAAACACAACAAGACTGAAAGCCCCACTTCATTTCCATCTACAACACTTTCAACGGTAATATGACTCATGGTTGAAAATAGGAAACTCAGAAGGTGGTTGGGGCAGTGTTGTATAAATTCCAAATTTTGACGCATCAATCAAATTGCCTTTTCCACTATCAATTTTCATCTAACGACAAGTTCGAGAAGGAGTGGTGAAATTCTACATTAAATTTTTTTCAATTTCCACCAAAATAGGCTGCTTGGGCTCAAGGAAAACCGAGGTGCTAATATGGCAAACGCCCTACCAATTACTTTGTAATTTTGGTTAGTGATCATTAACGTTTTATCCTCAGACTTTTGAAATGAATTAGGAGTACATTTAGGAAGAAACAAAGTTACACAAACATTGTGATATTATTCTTGTCAGTTTCAAAGCTTATTATACTTCAAGTATAGGAAAATGATTTTTATCACTTGTTAGCTTTAGTGACGTTTTGGGTTGGTAACTATCGGGGGCTAAGATCAGATGGAGAACGATTAGGAGTACTGGATAACTGTTTTGCTTTAGTATTGGACTCCTCAGCTGTGCGCACCCATGATCTCGCCTATGATCAAACTCTAGACCTTCCGGTTCTGCGGAAAGCACTTTACAGCTGAGCTACTGGATTTCATCCCTCGTGGCATATTGCTGAGAAGTTTCATAGGGGGCCCAAATAGTTGTCCAGTACTCCCAGGTTCTCAGTGAGTCTACAAACTGTGTCAACCCGTGATGAATAGCAACTTGAAATCAATAAAAACCTCACAAACCTTCAGATCGGATCAAAAACTTTTATTTATTAAGCTAGATTGGAAGAAAATCCTGTTTAACACGCACATATTCTGTTTGTTTGTGGTGTGATGTATCACAACTGATATACTTAGTCCTATTTCACTAGTTTCAAGAATTATTTCCTTCTTCTGAAGAGAACTATTGGCCATGATTTCTTCTGAAATTTATGGCTTATGAGATTTCTCTCACATAACTTCATTAACACACAGAAATATTCTGTTTTTTAACAAACAGATTAAAGGTTTCTAATATCCTTGCGTTTTCAGACAATCAGTTATAAGTCTAATTATCAGATGGCTGATTTATTTTAGCTGATATTTTGTTTACAAGTCAACTGATATATTTGTGCGATGGCTCGACCTACAGATAAAACAATTTTTCAAATGATGTTAAGTGCGAACACATGTAATCACAGTGTTTATACACAAAGAAGTTATATGATAATGACTTCATGTGTGCTTCAACCTCTTCGTCGAAAATAACAAGATTTCTGGGTCACATCAATAAATAAATTAAAAAACAAAATACTCAGAAGTAGTCTTCTTATTAAAATACGCCACTGCATTTTTTCTTTTAACATTACCATTTAACTCATTTTTCTCAAGATGCTCATAATAATGTTAACTTGAAGATTTTCTAATCTACATTTAATGACCATCAAAGTTCAGAGATACCCTTTTTTTCATACAATATTTAGTTCTCCAGTCTCAATATAATTGTTAGTCGCCTTCCCCTTAAAAGATACCCAGAAGACTGAAAACTTTTTTATCTCATAATGTTTCTTCAGCTTTTATTTTGGTTAAATAGCTCAAATACTTCTACTTTTTCTTAAAAAATTGCTTTTTATAGCCTACATGAAAATATATCGACTAGAATCGATTATTGGAACGATTAAAACTTGTGACGAACAACTAAATTTGTTAGAATATCAAATTAATCAGACAATTGAAGATGTGAAGCAGTTCAATTATCAATTCATCGATAAAGTATTATCAGCTATAAGTAAATATCTCTTAGCTAAATTGAGGTATGTACTTTTCGTGTGACATTGTTACTCATTTAAATTCTACTATAAACTATTTAAATTTTCAGATGGAAGACAACTTAAGACCACACAGTTGATTTGATCCTGTAAGAGGAATTTAAATGTTTTTGAAAGCTTCCACTTAAAAGATCCGAGAAACAGCTGTTTACCATTTTTTTTTAAGTGTTATTTACTCCACTGAATACCTTCCATAACCAATGCACACTTAGATACCCAAATTTTGAAGGAAAATGCTGACTTGGTTGACAGTTACTTCTCTTACCCTAGCACTGCATCAATTAGACAATATGGAAACATTTAATTCAGTTTCTATTCCAAATAATTAAGCGACGGAGCATTCGGTTCATTAGGCGTTGTTCATCAGACCGAGTCTTAGTTGCAAATATTATTATTTATCCTTTGGGTTCCTGGTGGAACATAGAACTTCACTAGCACGTTGCTATTGCACTCTCTTCTCTGCTGTCTTTTCAATCTAGCTACACGAATGCCCGAAAGCTTTCATTTCTTCCTCACACGATCTCCTCCATGTCACCCACGGACGTTAAAATCGTCATTTTGTATTTGGGTTCTTTTACTTCAACTTATATTGTGCTTACTGCTAACAACTGACAGATATGATACACGTAGGACTGGTGTTAGTTCATGATAAGTAGACTCCCCACTAACACCGAAACACATGACCGTATAGTATTTGTTAGTGATATGTTTCGAGGTGGATATTCCTGGGTTCTTGTGTAGTGACCTGTGTAGTCAGCCAGTCGGAAGTGAAGTGGATGCCAACTGAAGACGTTGTTGGGTAGTCATGTTATATCACAAATTGACAGAAGTAGGAAACTGTGAACACTTGAACTCTGACTCAGCGACTGAATACTTAATACGTTAGCCGTGAAACCTTAAGGGCCTGAGTTGCATGCGTGGTCGTGCATGGTCCTGGGTGCATACTGTTGAGGAGTCCCACACAAAGACGAAACAGCTGTCCAGTACTCCAAGGCTTTTAGTTACTCTCAAAATGATGCCAGTCCCCATTAACCTCGGAATATATTGGTTTTTTCCTTCATATTAGGTGAATCACCATGATAACAAAGTTGTTTATTCCTTACTTCAGAATACATTATTCCAAACTATAAACAATTCATAAATTAAATTATTCTGTAATTGTTCCTCCATATCTTGAATAGGTTCTTACAGATGAAGATAACTGACCATGAATCTTTATTATATCAAGCTATAAGCGAATGTATGGTGGATCAAGGTGAATATCATCCTCTTCTGGCTGAATGGTTGACGATTCTAGCTATGTCTTTACAAAAGCCATCTGATGAAAATGAATCACCTGAAGCAAAGTATGTTTCAAATGAGAAGAAAAATCTACTACCTACATTTTATATTTCTAATCTGATGTGTGTACATGGAAGTCGTTTTTATGATATCCAGGTTACTTCGGCTAGTTGGCTTAACTAGATGTATCTTTTCTCTTGTGTTCCAGAAGTTAACTTGTGATCGAAAAACAACTGTAAACAAAACTCGATTGAGTGATGGCCGAAAAAGGTCAACTTGCTTACCAGCTGACTATGTATATATTTATTTATAATTCAGAACAGGACTAAAAATCATGTGCTAAGTATTTCGAAGTGACTGATTAGGAACTATGACTCATATTTTGTTTTTCAGCACATTTGAACAATGCATATTTGTAACATGTTAACACCGCTAGGCAGAATGACCTAGCAAGATTTCCTACGGAGAAACAACCAATGATGAAGGAAATGTCAGCGTTTTATTATCTGAACAAGTATTTGAAATGATCTGCCGAATACTTTCATAATTTACCTTAACGAGACACTAATATTGCCCCACAATGAGGAGAAAATCACAATGGTTTTAGAAAAAGTAGATATTCTCCAAGGATGATGATCGAGAATTTCAAGTACACTTAAACAACAGTTTTTTCATGGCATGAGATTTATACTTAGTTCTTTTATATTAATTTCCATTGCTAGTCATTTCTTCTGTGATAACTACCGATGAACTATCCTAACTAATATAGTTACTCATAAGCTGACATATGACTGGAGCCCAGAGAAAACAGGGAAAAGTTAAGTACTTTTCATATTTGGCTTTAAATGCGTTAATATGGTCTCCCTCCCTCCCTCAACAGATAGTAGAAAGCAGACATTTTTAACTGTAGTGATGTCAGACAAAATTTCGTGATCGAAAAAGTAAATTTGGTCCTATAGGGAAGTGGAGGATACCCGAATGCTGTTGAATGCTCTTCATGTAAATACGAATTATCACTTGAAAGAAATCCGTCATCTGAAATGATGACATCAGTTAGTGTAAACTAAGAACTTCCTTCTCTGTAGCTTTATAATACCACCTTCGAACATAAATTTCTTTCTCTTTTAGCGTCCTCTTCAGCAGATTTCCGGTGGATTACCATCCGACCTAAAACTAGTAGTCCATTGAAAACAACTTCCTATGTTAAAATATTGATAAAGCTGCGTTTTTATAACATCTTGAACAAAATTTCAAGAATTCCGAATAGAATCTGGTATCCGCTGGATACGAAATGTTAACTAATTTGCAGTGATGCTACGTTCAAAAATAAATAACAATTTAGCAGTCGGATAGCGCAGACATTGCATCAAATCCTTGCGGATTCGTGCTCGATCCATTTTTAGAAGGTTTTTCAACTCATAGACTACATAACTTGTCATTGAAAATTAATATACTAGTACACAAGCAAGATGCAATACAACTGTCATGAAAGTTCACTGCTGATACTACACAAATATCAGCGGATTCTGACATTTTCTTGGCGCATTGAAGGAGGATGGTTTGAGTTCCAAGTGAATCATTTTTTAAATGCCTGAACTAATTTGCGACACAGTCGAACTATGCTCACTTAAGTTATCAAGCTACTGTTCACTTCCATATGCATAAATAGTTATGGATACAACATGTGTGTGTCGCAATCTGGTCAGTCGGTTTGTTTGTCTATGTAGTCAGTAACTGCTAGTTTCGGTTGTAAAGAGAAAAGCAGATTTCTCGCTAAGTGTCTGCCAAATTTCATAAAATGGTTAGTTGCACACTTCAGGTAACGCTATCTGAAAATGATCTCTCTGAGAATAATGTTATTCTGTTACACGTTTAAATATTCATGATTTGTTCACTTTTGCTTCTCATACATCTTAATATTTCATTTGTTCAGCAAGTTCACCTATATAAATACCGAAAGGCATCGTATCTTGAAGTGATGAACTGTTGTACAATGTGCTCTGTGTACTCTCAATTTTTCCACTTACATCGTCAAAAACGTTTATTGTCTTTCGAACCCATGACTGTATCTTTCAACTGTTTGATAGCCTAGTTATGTTTGTCACATAATTACAGGATGATAAATCTGAATATACTTCAACTTCACACATTCAACTCAGGTGAACCAGCCAAAGAATATATGGAAAGGAAAATAATCTGTACGAAGGAAGATTAGGGAAACTTTCCCTCACCCACTACCACTTAGATCTCTGTGTTCCTCTTGCCTTCCAGAACCTTAGAAAGTGATATATTTTATTCCATTATTGTGAAGTTTGATTTTCAAAGATTTCTTCTTAAATAAATTTGATTTACCACTGAAAGAGTCAGTCAATTAAAAATGTAAACGTTAATGTTTCAGATGCTTTCTTACAACTAAACTTCATTGTTTTTACTTACTGCCAGAGATGTGATTCTTAGAGGACGCAGGATAATATAAAAGCGTGAAGTTATGAATAAACATCATTAGAAATCTATTAGTACTTGAATTATTGTTTCAGTTAAGTTATCTTTTGTCCCGTATTAAAAATACTGGTTAATGAGTGAACATCCTTCTCTACAAATCAACTCCATATATGCAAGTGCTTCAGTGTCGGTTAGACCATCATCTCACAGAAAATTGTAGGCTGCATACTTTCAATAAATATATTGATAAAAAGAGAAGACAAGAGAGGACTAGAGTAAACTAAATAAACCATGTGTGTACAAATAAACAATTAACTTTTATGGACTTATCATTTTAACTATCTGAGATAGTCACAGTTTGATAGACCAGTACTGATATTTGGTGATGACTCAAGGCGAAATCGAGATTCCGACAGCAGCAGGGTTCGAACCAGAAACCACCGGGTTTCCGACACACAACTCCACCAACTAAGCTACGTGGTTCGACTGCTGACCAGCTTCTTATTTCACTTCAATCACTAAGGGGTCAGGCCGACTACCATGTGAATTCTCGATCCCATTCATACTGACTGTCTAGTCAGGACTTCTCATCCCAATCGAATTAGAGAGGGAGAGAGTCATATTGATTATCTCAAACGTCTGTCGTTTGACAGACTGGAATGAAGTGAAGCGAAAGTCTGGTCATGAGTTGTGTCGTGTAGCTCAGTTGGTAGAGCATTGGGTCGGACAGCCGGTGGTCGCTGGTTCGAATCCAGTCACGGTCCAAATTTTATATGGAACTGTCAAAAATACGGTCGAGCACGTTGAAAGGCTCTACTATTAAAAATTCTCATTTATGTTTTTCAATGAAATGAGATAATTTTTAGTTTTCCAATAATTACTCACACTTACTAAGAGTTGTCTTGTTGTTTAACATATAAATATCAAGTTTCCTTCGAATGACACTTGGAAATGTACGAGCACAAGCATGTCTTCGTTGGGCTTTAGATATTATGACGTATAATGAAGAAATTCTGATACGACCAGTTGTGCATCCGCCAACATCAGTACTTTCGAGCTTGAAGAAATCAATTTATTTAAAGTTACACAAAAGCCTTCTTCAACGTCTACCAACATATTTAATAATGCCACAAAATCAACCAACAATTTCACTTTCATCATCTTTATCACTGACATTTACACCTATGACTTCAAGGAGTATAATTAATAGTGCAAAACATTTATGTTCTAGAAAAGGGTCAAATCCTTTAACAGATTTTTCAAGTATCATATCAAAATATAGTAATGCAAATTCATTTGATCATCTGAATGTATATCAATCACTTCCAGCGGAAATTTGTTTACAGTTGACTATCAGTCTGTTAAAGAACAGACGTCAGATAAGTCTGCAGGAAGCCAGTTTGTATGCAGCATTTGTTCTACATGAAAGAATTCTATTTTTAGGTAAGTTGTAGAAAACTGAAGTGACATGAAGTTTTCCACTGCGGTTTATTTTCTTGTTGTTATTGTTATTATCACTTCCAATTTGCTAATTCACAAAATAATTTCAGGGATACTCACGAATTCGAAGTTCTACAGTAAATATTTATCAGCTTCAAATGAAGTAAAAATAGGTGTATGGAAATAAAGTCAAACTGAGTTCAAAAAGATGTAATATGTCGTCTTTAAAAATCAATGGCTGCAAGTGTTGAGAAACAATTATTCTAAAACTTTGGACACCGTACAGATAGTTCAGTTGTGCTCTTCTGGTAACTTATGCGATTGGCTTAATCCAGTGAATATAAAATAACCAGGTTTGAATTATTGTTAAGTCTTGCTATAAACATGTCACCACTTTACTGACTGATTACTAACAACTAGAATTCTAATATTTTCATTTCCTTATGGTATATTCAGTGTAAAAACCAAAATAATACTTAGGCAATTCAAAAGTTGTCACCATTGAGTGACCTATGTACGCTTTAAACATGAAAGTTTTATTGATGAGGTGATGCAGTTAGGTAAGAAGTTAGATGCACATAATATTTTAAAGTCTACTTGCTCCAGTGAAGCTGAGTAAGTTTGCCATACTATCCACTCACCTGGAAAACCTCCTCGCAAAACATTGCCTAGCCTAGTTGTTAGATGGTAGACACAAAACTATCTCCAGTCCCTTTGCTGAACGCCTCGTAGGCTGTAGATATCTGGCTCTTCTGGAAACCTAGGTCAAAGTTGTACATAAAGTCCGATCAAACCGTTAAAAAGGTATGAGAACCATACATTTATGTACAGCTGAGCTTTGGAAGTTCGATACTTCAAACCTCAATTGTGCATTCTAAAGAAACATATACTAACACTCTGTTTGCCGTGACCATAATCAGATACTTTATACCTCTGTCTATGTTTTATTTTGTATTTTATTTATTTGTTTATACTAGATACCGAATCTAACTGTTCAATGCCTTTTTAGTTAGTCATGTTTTGCGTGATGTGGAATCACTTCAGCCCCTTTATAAATCTGTCTATCAAGTCTAACCCTAGAAGTGAAACTTATCCGAAAAATTCTATTATTCCAATCATATATTTACGCATGCTTAGCTGTGAAAAAGAGTCATCTAACAGATAATCATCTTTTCTTCAACATCATTTTATTTTTCAAAGGCCTGTTGTATGACATCATATTTCCTCTTTACAGTTGCTATCTATAATATTATTGAAACAGCTCTAAATGAGATTTTGCATGATGAAAGTAGGTATCTCCTACCAAACTGAGGAGAGACTTCTAACCTTGAGTAGGTGAACCACATCATCTTACTATGAAGCAGCAGAAAATCCTTGAAACCACACTTAACTCGTTAGAGATCATAGAACGTAGGTATGGTATCTATTTCATCCCTTCAAAGCGCAAAGTGCTGTTAGAAATGTGATGGAAGGTTTCACTGATACTTCTGCCTGGTTGTGAACTTTGACAAGTAGTTAAAAATTTCGTGCATCTAGAAAGTTATGCTAGGGTAAATAGATAAGACATTTGATCATATTTTAGAAAATGTACTAGTATATGCCAATCTCAGTTACTTTGTGCACAATCTTGAGGTTAATTTGGCCTTCATCTGTCTGGCAAACAGTAATTTTAGGCTAGAATTTTTTTCTACGCATGTGGAACTTGACCTTTAAGAGCTATGAAGAGGCTACCACTTTCTTGGAAGGATTGTTATCATCCAGTGGAAACATCGTACAATTAATCCTGAGGGCCAACGAAGTGGTTGTGAAGCATGCTTCTAAACAACAGCTTTGGTGGCTTCGACAAGTCTCATGCATGCCCTCTAGGCAAATTCCATACCTTCTACTGTAGTCCGGTATTTGAATATTTGGAAAACATTCCGGAGATGGTCACTTTATAACACAGTATTCTGAAATGGAAAATAACTGTATTGAGGTTATAACTGTACACATCATGATTCACTGCATAAAAGTTCATGAGATCATGAAACCCACTGGGTTCAGATACCGTCAGATGTTACGAAAATCCGATACCAGTGGTGATGGTGCTGTAGTTACTTTACACATCACTTTTCATGGCAGAGCTATGAAAGTAAATCAACCGTCTTAAATCCATCTTACGTACAAGCTTTTCCTTTCCAATAATCCTCTTATTCTACATCTATCTTTTACATTTCGTCTTTACAATCCTATCATATTATTTATTCAGTAAGTTTCACCTCCTTTTTGCCCATAGTTTCGCAAAGACATATTGAGATAAACGGAGACGATATCACAAAAAGACGCACGGCTATGTCAGAATTTAAGTAAGTGATAGACTTTTTTAATTTCATTCTTCTAATGAACAGACTGGGGAAATAAGCAACAAAATAGTAATTGCAATACCGACTATGTTATGCATGAAGACATCTTTAAGTTACTTGCTAACTGTAACAATAAGGGTTGATGCGACAGTCTTTATCATTCATGGAATGTATTAAAGTGACAGGATTGACTCAACGATCATGTGGTTAGTTACACAACAGAATATACATTCTTTCTGAATCATATGAAATTTTTATTCTATTTAAGATCAACGTGTTTGTGTCTTTTAGTAGTTATGCATATGCCTTGTTCGAGCTTTTTTCGAAATCTATCGCAGAGATTTCGTGAAATCTGATGTTAGTTTCTAGCTAAACTTAAGCAAAATATAGTCGCACACAGAACTGCAGTAGCTAAGTTTTGTGCATTGTCTGCCGCATTTTTCACTGCATTTAAATTTATAATTTTATCTCAATCAGCCTAACTGCTTCTTATTTTTGGGTATACTACTGATCCTACAAAATATATTAAACGACTATCATCGCAACTACAGGGACGTTTATTTAAGAATCGTTCGCATATAAATAGAGGCTAATATATTCTCAAGAAAGTTGCAGTGTAGCAGATACCACTTATATTTCTGACTAGGTATACATTTCTAGCTTCATTTCGTTAGTTACCTAGAAAATCATCGGACCGTCAAATCTTGAAATACGAGAAGGAAGTCATCAATTCAAAGGAAAATTCCCTAAATACTGTCATTCTTATTCATGCAATTATTCGATGAAAATATGTGAGACAGAAACATTTACTATGCCACTTCGCTTAAACCATAGATTTTTGTTGGTAGTTTAGTGAATGCATTGGTTTCAAGTTGGTTTTCATCACCAAGTGATATTAATTTGAGAACTACTAGAAACCTGAAAACACTGAATAGATGTTTTATCACAGCTCAGGACTCCTCCGAAATGCAGACACACTACATAGGTAGGTATAGAGCCTACATTAGCCAGTTCTCAAGGTTAGCACATGCCCATTCAACCAGCTAACTGAAGTTCCTACTTTTAACAACTCACGATATAGTGCAATCATCGATTGTCATCGGAGTATTTGCTTTTACACCAGACACCCTTGACTCTTCAGGTCATAAGATTCTCGTTAGAACTTCGGGAAATCTATCTCAAGGCAAGTGAATGACAGGCGGTAAACAGTTCAACCCATCAATTCTTTGATCTATCAGCCTCACATTTGAGACGATTACAAGTCAAGTTTTAACTACTTTTATATCACTCAGCAATATGTTCACCTTTTTGATGAATATATAACATTTGGCTCTATTTTTCTTTTTATTTATTTCCTGGTTGAGTTTTGTTACCTCGCTTCATATTGGTAATTTGAATCCTTCAGCTGATAATATCTCCTTTTACTACATAAAACCCAACAGGTGTTGAACATCCAGCCACTACTCAAATATCTAGAATCCTGGATCTTATACAGCACGATCTTACTCTTAGCTCAATAACCAAACAAACAGAGGAGAACGATACAAGCACTATAGAACCACGGTTTCAAACGTCAAAACTTTCTGACAGACATGCATCACATGACTTATTTCTTTCACATCGATCACACGATAGATCGCCTAGACAACTATCATCTTCAAGAACTCCTAATAAAGTCGCGAAATCATCATCACAAGCTTCTTTGTTATATGAACAGTCAACAAACGTGACTTCATCAATTTCAGGTTAGTGTGAAATTTATTGGTCTTCTAGAATCTTTTTATGTAGCTCAGTAAGATAGGCTCATTTGCTAGACAGATTTAAATGTAATAGAATGATGAATCAAGTTGAAAATAAACTTGAGTTATGAAAATCACTACTAAGAAACCTGAACATAATCAGTCTAGCATTAGGCAGTAAGATCATATTTCAGCATTCCTACAGTCAAGAAATATTTTTATCACTTATATGAATCAGTAGTAAGTTATTTTCCATGCATAATTAACATCATCACCATCATACTAACTGTGCGACCTGATTATTTTGAACTCAATGCTAATTGAGATCACTTAGGAATAGGGTGATAATAATCACTTAAAAAGTGAACTTTTTGAGATGATAGTCTTATATTAAGATTAGTCAACCCATTAAGAATCACTTCGAATTCTGCAAGACATCCAGGTTATCTTTTAAATTTAACCATTTCTTTTTATGAATATATATATGTATATATATATATATATATATATATATATATATATATATATATATGACATTTTATCAGTTGATGTACAAGTTATGGAAGGAGGAGGTAGAAAGAAAAATCTAGATACAGGTGTATAGTCCTGAATTAAAATAGAAGCTTTCCCAGGTTTATGCAACCTCATAATTTATTTGTTTCTTTTCACTTCTGACAGGTACTAATCGAACTAGCATAGCATCTACACGACTAAATTATCAACAAGCAAGAATGAGAGAAATAAAATATGAGTCACCTTTAAAACATTTGGGTAAAATTCATCGTTTTCTAGCAAAGAAGATAGACCAGACAAATAACATGAAAAAGTATGCAGATTTCAGCATTTATGATAAACCACAGAAACAAGTAGTACTGATCCAAACTAATAGAATATAAAGAAGCTTAGTTTTCTTATTCCTACAGCAAATTGTGCATATTACTAATTCATCTAACATGGATTTGAATATTGGAAGCTGATCATTTGAACTCTGAAATTAAGCATCTTTTCGATTCATATAAGTCATAATCGTTGTGTAGAATGATAAGCTGACAGAAAAATTGTAAAACAAAACAAGTTCAGCCAGGAATCACTCTTTCCAATGATATCATTCTCAAACTGTATCACCACATTAACTTGGCAATAGAAAAAGAATGCTTCATGAAAAAGGTTTTTTAAACAAAATTCAGTTTTGGTTATAAATCAGGAGGTCAGGAAACGAATCACATAATGTGTACAGGAGTAATGAAAATAAGACGAAAGAACTATTGAGTTACTCACGATTGAATTATGTCATATGGTCAAAAAAATTGGTGAATATAATAAGTCATAATTGTAAGCGTGGAATAACGTGGTGCTTGAGATGAAACAACTTTCTAATAAGGAGGCAGAAGAAAAGATTTGAGGGAAGGGTAAAATGTTGGCACGAGTCACGTCCAATAGAAATCAAGCAACCCAGAAAACTTGTTTTATATTAAGGGTTCAGACTGTAAAATATGAAAAATGCAAGAACAAAGACATTTGCAGAATAAAATGAGCTAATTTTATTTCATGGCCTTTCATCAGCCCCAAACAGCCTCAAATTGAATTGAAGTATTGATAGCAATAATGACATGACCTATTGGCTTCTGAACAGTCCCTTCTTTTACACTGATTTTTGTTCGTTATAACCTTACCCCACTCGACAGCTCCAGATTCTTATATCTCATTAGATATAAATTACCACTGATCTTAACTAAGATCTGTAACTATTAATTCTGTGTTTCCTTGACTCACTACCTTATTGTTAATCCTGGATTTCAAATCTCCATTTATTTCTACATTTTTACAGTATTTCATGTCATTATTACTACTAACACTTCATTCCAATTGTAGGATATTTGCGGCTGATGAAAGGCTATGGAATAAATTGAGCTCATTTCATTCTGCAGAGTTTTTTGTCCTTGCATTGTTCAAATTTGTCAAGGGTACAAAATTTGAATTACCATGGATTCTGTAGTTTTAAGAAGTTTTGATGAGTATGATAAGCAACGAGTCGCTTATTATTTCCTTATAGGGAGTTTGGATCTACAAGCTCCCATGCTAATCTGACTTTGGAGCTAATATTGTGACTAAAACACTACTATGCATCTCTCCTTCACACGTTATTCAAAGGAAATTTTAGCAGCTGAAGCGAGACTGAAATGCAGTCAATCATTCTGTTGTTCAGCTCATTTCTACAGTATTAGGCCTGTAAAGTGGGAGTGGATAAGCAAAGAATAATAGTGGCCTAACTTTTCTTTCACTTTCAATCACCAACCTATTGTATCTAAACCACTTTATTGAAGGTGAATTAAAAATTAAGTTAAATTAGGTGCTGGAATTTATCAGCATACACAGCGAAACATCTAGATGAAAATAAAAGATCAACAAGGAAACATGCATGAAAGTATTATACAGAAAATGTCTGTCATAGATTCCTAAGTTTGTTGAAAACTAAGTCATATACACATTTGGGTCAACTCTTGATTGTCAGGAATTAGTATGTACCACCTCTGAACCTGTTTTCTTAGCAATGACAACATTCAGTCCATCAGTATCAACACAAGCCCATACAGTACTGATTAACGGTTCAAGATGCTACATTTCATAACAAGTAAGAAAGTAGTGAGGCGAAAGATAAAGAAAGAAAAATAGGCCAAAAGAAGTGACAAGAGAGAAAGGAGGAATAAAAAATACTTAACTCAGTATAGCTAGTAGGATTAAGATTCACAATCTCCAACCAATGATTCCTATTGTTACGTGGACCCCAACCGCGAAGTCTACACCTTCCTATATGGTTCAGACCAACAGTCGATGACTTCATGGAATGATACCATGTTTTAGTCTGGCTACCCCGAGCCTTTTTCTAGCCTGAACATATTTCAGGCAACATTGCACCTGGGTCCATGGAAGTTCACAACCTTATTCACTGAATTTATTCCCACCCCACAGTACAGTACGCTGCGCTCGAAATCGGCAACCAGATATCACGGAGATTCCACAGATGGCGTAATCTGGCGAAAGCCAATCCAGTCTTTTGTATTTATTCAGGGATTTCTTTGACCATTGGCCAACACAATAGGGCTAATCCTGTTTCCCAGGTAAGTGAAGTGGGCAATACACTCAACCATTTCACTCCCTATTATTTGGTACACCACCAGTGAAGACCAGTTTTGGGGCAACAATTTGTATTCGGGTGGTGGGAAACGCATTCCAAAAGTTCTCAAATTGTCAATCAAGGAGATCGGAAGAATTTACTTCTTGTCAAGTCCTTCACCTGTCAGAACTAAGTCATCTGCGTAATCTAAATCTACCAAGAATTATTCTGTGATAACATCCATACATGCAAAATCAGATCTTTTTAAGTGCGTTTATGAATAAAAATGGAGAGAGTGAATGTCTCCAGGGACACCACTCGCCGTATACAATATTACCTGACAACCCACCATGAACTCTACTATTCCTGCTTGTGTTCAAATATACAGCTTTCAACAGTGTGATATGCTTACTTTGAACCACTTTCAGTAACAGAAACTGTTGTAAGAACTCTCGATCTACTGGAACAAGCGCAGCCTTCAGATCAAAAACTACAGATGATGTCGGATGATGTTGAGTGTGCCTGTTTTTCAGAAGCTAGCCTAAAGTCTGAGGTTTGCCTGGTTTTCGCAAATTCTCTGTTTCCGTGATTTCCTCAGACGTCTAACGATTATGGATGCTAGAATCTTAGACACAACACTCGTAAGGTTGATTCCCCTGTGGTTTTCACAAGAGGACGTCTCACCTTTCTTGAAGACTCGGACAATCAATGAATGAGACCGGTGAGAGCGGATCGAATTTGGCTTCCATACACTCGTTAAAACTTCAGTTAATTTGACTAAAAATCCTTGACCACTGTCTTTAAATACATCTGTAACTAGTCCGTTTAGCCCTGTTGCTCTTTCACGTTACTACTTGCCCACAACTTTCTTGACTTATGTGTGTTGAAGATCTTATCTTGATGTTAAATACAGACTCACACTGAATACTAGGCATCAAAATAGCAGCCAGAGACCAGCTGAACTGTTTATCGAGGTATTCTGCCTGTCGTTCTATGTTTTCCTCTGCAGGTGAAGAGAAGGTAAATACTTCCCCTCAGTCGTTTCATTAACCGTTTACCTTTCCGCTCTAGTTTCCTAGATAATTATAAGTAACTGCCTTCTGTTACCTGCCGCTACTGCCTTTTCCATCTCTTTAGTCTGCCTTCCCAACCAATGTTCACGGTCATTGTGTGTAGACATTTTGTCAGTCTGTGTCTGAATTGAATTTACTGACTATTGTACTGGGAGCCTGCAGGGTTGCATTCGCGTGCATCCATAGTTTCACAAGAAGCTGGTGAGATGCACAGGTAGTTTCCAATCACTTTCTGAGAGTCGGCTAATGTATTTCCCGCCGTACTTACAGCAAACTGAAGATGGCTGCAGACTTCTTCTAGACGGAAAATTTTCTGTTCCGACAACCGCCTACTTAGTTTCTCTGTAGCGTTCTGATTGTAATGGTCTGGGTGCTATAGTTTTTCTAAGTCCTTTTAGCAGGAGCAGACAAATATGTGCTACAACTAACGCGTAGACTCAGTCTAAACACGTGCTTTAGAAGTAATAACAATTTTTGAATGGCACTCTCCAGCAGCGAATGATAGAAATGTGATCTATTTGTGTTCACTGCTGAGTTGGGCCCAGTGAACACCACACCGGACAGTGTCTCTCTTTTTATCTGAGTCTTGTGCTGGCTAAAGATAAGTGGCTATCTGAGCATAGTTGTAGCCACTATCTATTGATTCGACTGAGATTCCGAAAGTGCCACCATACTGCCTTTCTGCTTAACTCACCCTGCCTACTTGTATATTGAATTCACCTGCAACAGCTATCACGTATGAGCACTCCGCTTTCAACAGAAGCCTGAAAGTCTTCCGGTAGAACTCACCCCTTACTTCATGCGGACCAAAGTCACCGTCCCGTTCAGTTAAACAGCACAAAGGTGACTTTTAACTGGGATCCAGCTGAGTAGAATACTTCTGCCTTAGTGCTCATTGCTATACCTACACCTATCAGACCACAAGAACTGGTCTATAAAACTCCAGAAACTCGAAGGGTGAATTTTATGCATTCACTATACTTGCCGGTCTAATAGCCGGAAGAAATAAAAGATAATATAGTAATGTTGACCGACAGACGTGGAGGAAGAGTAGAAGGATAGTATGTGGAGAACTGATAGTGATGTGAGGGAGCTTGAGTGGTGACAGAACTATGAGGATGGTTGATACTTTCTGACTGCTCACACCATGGAAGGCTATTTCTTCCTAGAGTACCTGAAAGAGAAAAGATTCATGTGACCACACAGCTAATAAGATATCTACCGGAGGCCTGTCATGCAGCCTTTTGAGGACTGTTGACATGAGATTAGATTTTTATGACTCTGGACAAAGAAAATATCTACCGCCGGCACCAGAGGACTATGGGGTGAGGAAAAGTGTGCCGTTTTCCTGGACAACCTTTTCTAACCTCTTCCTGTTCGCATAAGGAAGGCGGCATTAGTGTGGCACAGCTGGCCCCCTAAGGGAAACACTTTACTGCCGTCACAACACATGCAACTAATAGTGCGACTTCGTCGTTAAACCCGCATCATAGTGTATCAGTTTATATTACGATATCAAAGCTCGACCACCATATCAAGCTAGCAGCTATCGTTGCATATGACTGCATTGTCGACATAAGAATGGTTCATACACATTCTCTTTTTCATTTCTTGCGCTTTTCTCGCTTTTAAAAATCTACTTTGTTTCATTCAACCTTTTCCATTTAAGTGTAAAAAATTTGTTAATTTAGTGTCGTAAGACTTCCTGAAATGTAATTAACGAAAACCATGCATATTCAACTCTTTACTGTGTCGTTATACCATCTAAACTAACGTCGAAGACAATCTCCAAAATGAATCGAACTTATCTGATAGACGACTTAATAGACTCATCTTCCAGTATATTTCCAAATAAAATCTGTGACAAGAAATCGCAATTTATCAACAAGATCAAAGTGAAATTCAGTTCACACGTGTCATAACCTTTATCACCACTTACCGTAACCTCCCTGCCATTTGTTGTATTTTTGTAG